AGGCAAGCTGCACCAAAAACTTATTTCGTGCATTAGCTCAGCTGTAGACGTGTTGTTTTTATTATTAGTTTTTCTGTTACAAACAGATAGTCTCACGGTGTGTATATAACAAACATGGAAAAAATCTTTGCCTAACCCCTCAGCCTCTATGCTGATTCTTCTATAATCCGTTGAAGAAAACAGATGTCTCAAAATCCACCAACTTTTGTTTCACTTTCATTTTATTTTTGAGGTACTTCTGGTAGAGAATAAAGGTGCAGTATACTTGTTTAATTAATTCATTTGAAGTGGTTTCTAGTAGGGATGCACCGAAAATTTGGCCACCGAAATTTTTTTTGCAGAAAATGACCTAAAAGTGCATCTTCAGTTTTCAACCGAAATACCTAAATCATTGAAACAAAACGTCCGAAACAGACCGTTAGGTGAAGGTTTCATCGCACTCTGACCTTATGTGGCACTTTGCTTTTTGCTTCAAAAAAATCTTACGTTTGTACTGATTTCAAAAGTAAAGCTTTTCCCGTTTTCGCAGTTGTCAAACTCTATAAACTCTGAAAATGTAAAAAAAGAAAACACCCAAAGTGTTGCGCAGACTGAAGTTACACATTTCCACTATCTTTTGGTGTGAAGTAATAACTTCACGAGGGATTATGCTTGCAGCTGTGGCTTGTTAAACACAATATTGCAACTGGTGCATAAAGGGTTATAAGTGTGTACATTTATAATTTATTATTTGATTTATTTATTGTAAATAATAATTTGTTATTATTTAATGTACACAAGTAGGGTCAGGTGAAACATTTTATTTTGAGTTTTAATTTATATTGCTCATTGTTGTTCTATCTGTGCTAAATAAATATTTTCATGGTTTTGTAATTGATTTATTGTAATGTCTTGATATTGAGGTTAGTACACATCGTAGCCAAAAGTTCCATGGTTCTAATTATTGACATAATAATTTATTTCGGTTTTGGCCACAAATTTTTATTTCTGCGCATCCCTAGTTTCTAGTAGGAATGAATGCCTCAAGTGTGCTTGTTTCAGGACCAGGACCTATGCCACATCAGAGGAGAGCTTAACACAGCAGGTTTTAGAATCTTCCATCCATCCAATATCAATACCCGCATATCCACGCAGGGTTGCGGGGGGCTGGTACCTATCTCCAGCAATGTCCAGGCAAACAGGCGGGGTACACCCTGGACAGGCTGCCAGTCCATCGCAAGTTTTGGAATCTTTTTTCCTGATATTTGGACATGTCGCCTTGGATTTGCTAACAGCAACCCAACTCTACCACTGACTCAGTTTGTTCCACAACATTGATGGTTTATCTCCACAACTAACACAAGCCTGAAGGAGTTCTGCAGTTTGGTGGAGTTGCTAATGCTAACGGTTAGCCTCTGCTAGCTGCTAAATCAATACAGCCTCCAAGGGGTAGCCACAAACCAAGCTGGGCGAAGCCATGAATACAAATTTTTCCTGTGACAGAAGAGCTTTTTCTGACCCAATCGTTCTCCTGTCTGTGTCCTTTCTGTGGCTAATGCAGACAATGGGGGTTTACACTGTTTTTGTTCCATGTTGTGTCACTTACAGACATATTTTCCCAAACAAAAGGGCCAGTTGGTGTTTAAAGTTGCATTTGGAAGGCATAGCATCAGCATGGAGAAATGTAGACAGGAGCTTGGTCTTTCATCAGAAATATCTTGAGGGCTGACACTGAAGTATCATGGAACTACAAAGAAAGCATTTGGCAAGATATTCTATAGGTCAATCAACACAGACACGTTTATCTCAAAACTGCTTTTTCTCAAGGTTGTGTAACTAAGCCATCAGTAGTCTTTATGACACCACAGAGCCTGCTGGGAGGAATCTATGGAATCACTTGGAAAGGACTTTACAACAGGAAGCTTGAGTGTATCATTGGTCCAGTGAAACCAGTTTGTAATGGAATTCCTTTTGTTGCAGCCTGGGTAGAGAATCCCCTCTTTGCCTGAGGAGAGTAATGTCACCAGTGTCATTTTTATTATTTAAGACTCACCAGAGTCTCACTAGTCTTAGAGTGATGCTTAAAATATATTTCAAACCTACCATAATAGTAGCTGATGCAAACAGGAATCCATTCGGAATTTTGCCGCTAGGTGGCAAATTGGAGTGAGCAAATATAGGATATGGAGCCTGCAGATCTTCTCATCCAGGTTGGATTGATGTGCCGTCTTGTTTGTGAGGTTTGAAGGCAGAATTACAAGCTTGACCTTTATGCACTTAAATGCCAGAAGCGGGGGCAGTCCTAGAGTTTGCGTGTTTAAGGACAGAATGAGGAAAACCCCCATTCCTGTCCTCCATGCTCATGTTACTCTGCTGATTCTGCTTTGTTGTCTTGTTGTTTGAAAGTACACACTGATAGGACCACTTCAGTCTGAAAGCGTGAACAATGCTTTAGGAAGTTTTGCAATTTTTTTATTGTAAAACCTAATCCTACCTATTCTTTCATCAGTGTACATAAACTTATCTGCTGATGTCTTCCTTGTTTTACCGTGTAGTTAAATCCAAACATTTATAATTGGAGTCTCTGAAGGAACATTTATTCTTTTATTCCAGCAGTGATGCACCGATATGAAATGTTTGGGCCGATACCGATATCCAATTTTAATTTCACTGTTATAACGATAACCAATATTTGCAAATACCGATATACTGATATTAATGCTTCTAAAATCAGCAGATTTTGTATAGAATGAAAATTATTTAAGCTGACTTTACGTTATAATGTACACGCACAAGTTCTCATGTTTCAGAGGATAGAAGTTTGTTTTAGGAGTGTGTGTGTGTGTGTGGGGGGGGGGGGGGGGGGGGGCGCTGGTTTATGAATCTTTCTCATTAGTTTTATGATATGCAAATGTCTCGCCTCTGATTGGCAAAACAACTCTTCGGCTTCCTTTGTTTGCACTTCTTGGGTAAAAATGCAACGCTGATGTGTTACCGCCTCAAAAAACAAAAGCCCAAATGTGTTCCGCCATGTTGTGGAGTTGCTAATGCTAATGGTTTAGCTTTTACTAGCCAAGAAACACTTAAAAAAGAACCAGTATTAAACTGTTTCTCAGTGATCAAGACCTTCTTGTTGAAATTTTCATATTCGGTAGGTCAAACACTTATTACCTCAAAATCTGTGCACCAACTTGCCAATTGACACACTATAAAGTTTTCTTTCTCATGATTAAAGCAATCAAACATTCAGTCGTCACCTTGCTGTTGGTTGTTATAAAGGATTTATTACTCAAAAGAATTGTTGCCTATAGTTTGTTTTGGTGGTTCAAGAAAAGTTTCCATTTTTGCGTTGTGTACTTAGGATGTTAGATAGAGATTTAGTGTTTTTCCCCTAATCCTGAATCAGGTTATTTAAGATTGGACATGCCATACCTGGTTTTAAAGGTGCAGTATGAGATATTTATCGGGAACATTTTTTGCCATATTGCTTGAAAAGCTCATCCCATTCCAATAAAAACGTTTCAAATAAAAGTTTTATCTAAAGAGCGAAGCGAGTGGGAGGAGGTTTGGTTCGATTCGGAGGTGGTTCTGGAAGTTTTGACCTGAAATGCAGTCACCAGAGCTGTGTGTCTAATGGTCACACTGTATGTGTGTGTAAGAGCCAGTGTTGTACCCTTTTCTGCAGCCCTCAGATTCTCTGACTTTAGGGGAAACCAGAAGACAGGACATTTTAAATTTTTTATAATGTATCTATTTGTTTTTCCCGAGAATATCCGCTGCACCTTGAATTCCTGGCATTTTGCTACTCACTTACAGACCAACATAAGACACAGACGGGTTTGGCTTTCATAATGGATGGGAAAAGTGCTTAAAGGGATATTCCACCCAGAATTGAAAATTTGTCTGTTGACATATCTCCCGGAGTTAGACATAACGATTTTTAACCAGCCCAGTCATTCTCCTGGCACGGCTGGACTCCATTAGCTTTAGCTTAGCATAAAACTCAGTAAGTGAATGGATCCAATTAGCATTGTGAGTAAAAATGTCCTTGAAATCTCTCAGTAGTGATCCCAATTCTGCTTGGTGACATAAATATGACTGACTGCAAGTGAGAAAAATTACTAACATAAAGGAATCACTGGCGTCATTTTAGACTTGGGACTAGTTTATGATAAAGCACAGCTGAAAGGTGCATGGCAGCCCCAACGACACCTGCTTCCATACACAAAGATGCACATGTTTTTAGCTAACCAAACAAAACGCACATGCGCGTGTGCACACACACACACACACACACACACACACACACACACACACACACAACTAGCACTCACAATTCTAGTTGGATCCATTCACTTACTGTGTTTTATGCTAAGCTAAAGTGAAGGGAGTACAGCAGAGAAATTGACTGGGCTGGTTTAAAATAGTTTTTTCCCACTTATCTAACACTGGGAAGTATGTCAGCAGACAAGTTCTTTATTTTGGTTGGAATATCCTTTTAATAGAAATAAAAACATACTTGTAAAACAGAATGTTATGGAGGAGTTTAATAATGGATTTCTGTTGTTGATTACATTTTCTTTTCTTCATCTGAAGGCAAAAAATCAGATTGAAACACACATTTTTCTTAACTGCACAGCCCTATTTCACATCATATTTTACCTCAGTGAACCATAGATCCACATTGGCAGCTCTCTCCAGCCCAGTGTAACATCACCAGCAGGTTTGGAGAGGTTGCTTCTGTCTTTAATGTGTTAAACTGTTTTAGCACCGCAGGACAGCTGCTTAGAGGAGCTGTCAACCTTCTGTTAATACAGTAATAAATGGCCTGCATGCCAGTGTTGGCCCTATCAGCTATCACACCTCACCTGCACGGTTGTCCTTTTCTCTCTCCTACTCTTTACACCTCCCTTTACCTCTATTCTCCTTTCACCTCTAGCTCCTCTCAGCAACTTTTACCCCTAGCCTAACGTCCTTTCAGTCTAGCTCTAATTTATCATTTCTTTTCCTTTTGTTTTTAGTTTTATTACTTGAAAAAATAGAGAACGACGACATCGGGAGAAAGACCTTGAAGATCACAGATTTTGGCCTGGCCAGGGAGTGGCATAAAACTACCAAAATGTCTGCTGCGGGAACCTATTCCTGGATGGCCCCTGAAGTTATCAAGTCCTCTCTCTTCTCTAAAGGCAGCGATGTTTGGAGGTACGTCAAACAGACAGAAATAAACAAAAAATATCTTGCAGATTTTTTGTTGACTTTATTTTTGTTCAAATATGCCAACCATCAGCTACGGCGTCTTGCTGTGGGAGCTGTTAACAGGGGAGGTGCCTTACCGAGGGATTGATGGTCTGGCTGTTGCTTATGGTGTGGCTGTCAATAAGTTAACCCTGCCCATCCCCTCCACCTGTCCTGAACCCTTCGCCAAGCTCATGGAAGGTAACTAAAACCAAATTTCAAAATTACGTTTTTTTAGAATCATATTTATTATGAATGTCTCAATGATGGGACATTACATACTTCTGTGTCAAGTCTGCTTTATGTACATATACACATTATACATCATTAAAAAGCTGGGATTCTTTTGAGTCCAATGATAAATGCTGATAATTGATTCAACTATAACCGTACTGTAGACACAGTAAACGCTTTTGTCAAATCACTTGGAAAGTCAAAATAATGTCTTAACTCACCATTCAAAGCCTCACTTCGTTGACAGAACAGTCACCTCAAACAAAAACACTCGTTTTACTTCCGCAAGGGTCAAATAAAAGTACTCTAATAAAATAATTATTCCACAAGTCATATGTCCACCATCCTAATGAAAATCATCTGTGAATCATCCTTACCATAACATCTGTTAGCATCTTCAAATTAGCTTCAGAATTTTATCAAGCTCTTACTATCCCTTTTTAGAAGAGCCACCATGCTGACAAATCAGCGTAATTCTGCCACCACGGTGTGTCTTATGAAGACGCCGTGGAAGTGTGGCGATGCTCTACCACCCCCCACACTGTTCTGACACACCTGGAACAACTATACATATGCAAAGCTGCTATACTGTATGTAAACTGCAGCTCTGCATTCAACAACATTCTGCCCAGTAGACTATTCCACAAGATGTCTGACCTTGGTCTCGAGCACAACATCTGCTTCTGGATACAAGACTTTCTAACAAAACGACCACAGTCTGTTAAGCTAGGCCCAACCATTCCTCCTCTCTGTCCCTCAGCACAGGAGCCCCACAAGGCTGCGTGCCGACTGCCTTCCTGTACTCCCCGTACACTAGGGCTGCACAATATATCGAAAAATGATCGTCATCGCGATAACAGGACGTGCGATAGGCCCATCGCAAAACACGGCAAAAACAGCGATAAATGTTTGGTTCAAACATTTCCATCCGTGTCATACATCAGCTTTTTGTAAACCAGCTCTGTTTTTTACGCGGAAGTATTATTTGACCAATCAAATGTAATCCTTCTCATATGCGGCCAATCAGATGGTTCCGTTCACGTAATATGCCCGCCCCCTACATTGACCCTTTTGGAAAGCAACTCCCGAACAGAGTTTGCGGCGCTGTTCCCTTGTTCGTCATGCTGGCTCAGAGCAACGAACGCACTTTGTGCTGATGTTTCTGGATTCAGCGCTGCTTTCAAACGTGAACGTGACTCCGCTCGGTGTCGTTATTCATTTTTACCGGGCTGACTCCGACACGTGCCGGTGAACCAACCCACCTTCATGTCACTAGTGTTAGCCACAGGCTCCGGTTAGCTTCCAGCTAAAATGCTACAGCACTCTCCTCCCAGTCCCACCCTGCTAAAGAGGGCCTGGAAAAGTTCCCCCACACATCAAAGTGATTTTTCATTTATGAGCTTTTATAACCTTGTTAATCAGGATAGTTGATTTGCTGCTGCACATAAACTGTCAGTCAGAAGCTCTGCTAGCCGGTTATCTTAGAGGAGCTAGTTCAATTTGTTAGCTTGTTATCAGAATCATAGTTGCAGTTTCATCATCTGAGCTGCTTTTTAAGATCTTGGTAAACTTGTTCAATTTGGGGTTAAAACCAAACGTTTTCACATATTTTCCATGTAGTTTTTTTGCCAGTTCCTCTTCTGAAAGGTAGACAATTGTTTTTCTCTTTCCCTCAGAAAATCTTAATATTCTCCTAGTTTGGCCCAGCACAGATCACTTCCCAATAGCAGCAAAAGCCTTATATCATAACCACATAAGTGGAGAAAATGTTCAGAAGCAATGAGAGAATTTGCTGTTGCATTTAAGTGATGTTAACTGTTATTTAACATTTAAACTTACTTTCTGATTTTTTTAATTTATTCAAAAACCCTGGTAAGGGATGTTTTTCTGTATTTGGAGCATCAGAAAAAGTTTTATGGTGGAGGTGATGTTTTAAAGTCACTGAGAAACTGCATGCATGCAGTTTGTTGTTTTGCTGCTTATACAGTAGCAGATGCAGCTGCATATTTTTTCAATAAAAATGTTATGTTGTAATGGAATTCATGCATTAGTTTTTGTTTGCTTTGAACCCAGAGCAGACGTCACACGTCACACGCCAGACCACATCAACACTGCATACTTAAGTATTTGTTCATTTATCGTGAGTAATATCGATATCGCAATATTAAGCACTGTTATCGAATATCGCAGGTTTTCGTACACACGTGACTATAAGCCCAACCACAACACCAAAGCTATCATTAAATTAGCAGATGATACAACCGTGGTGGGCCTAATCAGCCAGGGAAGAAGTGAAGCAGCTGGTAGACTGGTGTACAGCTAACAGCCTGACCCGGAACACCAACAAAACCAAAGAAATCATCATTGACCCAAGAAGGAAAAAGATGGAGTGCCAGTCACTCAGTAAATGTGCAGCAGGTGGAGAGGATGTCACAGTTCAAGTTCCTGGGCACAAACATATCAGAGGACCTCACATGGACACACAACACCAAATGTCTGATAAAGAAGGCACAACAACGGCTATCAGGAAGATCAACCTGCCACAAAAACTGTTGGTGTGGTTTTATCACTGCTTCATAGAGTGTCCTCACCAACAGTATCCTGGTGTGGTACAGCAGCAGCTCTGCAGCTGACAGGAAGGCCCTGAAGAGAGGAATCACAACTGCAGAGAAAATAACAAACACACACCTGCCTGCCCTGATGGCATGTTTAATACTGCCTTTGAAAAACCACAAACACCCTGAAGGACTCAACCCACCCTGCTAACCATCTCTTCAAACTTCTCCCGTCTGGTAAACGATACAGGACAATAAAAACACACCACCAGGCTGTTAAACAGCTTTCATGCAAGAGCTTCACTGAACTGAATGTTGCTGCTAGGTCAGTAACAGGGATTCTGCTGGACAATCAGTGCTCTACAGCACCTTTACATCAAGTTGGTTAAAAGTGACACCTCAACGCGTGACTGTTTACATTTATGTTTACTTTAAGTTTCAGTTAGTAGTTTAGGCTTATCTTATTACCATGTTTACTTTTACATTTTTGCACCTTAAACTGGCCGTGTGTGTGTGTGTGTTCGTGTGTGTGTGTGTGTGTGTGTGTGTGTGTGTGTGTGTGTGTGTGTGTGTGTGTGTGTGTGTGTGTGAGGGAGAGAGAGTGACATCTATTTTAGCCTTGTTATTTTATTTTACTTATGTTTTACATGAGCTGTCTTTAGTGAGCGCAAAGTCAATTTCTTTGTACGCCTGTGCAATGACAATGAATTATGTTGAATCTTTAGGAGCAGCTTGTCAAAATAACTTAATGAGCGCGATGTTGGTGTCAATAATAGCAAGGTATATCCAAGATCAATGGAAGTCTGCGGCGGTGCATCATTCCATACCCCCTTTACCCGCTTAATCTTTTATAAAAAGGACACAATTGCACCACATCACCGCCACGGTCAGACCACTTATAAACGACCTAAGGCTCCCTGATGCCGCCTTGGCATTGTGGCAAATTGACAGCATTGTTTTCGAAAAGAGGCTACTGATTCAGTAGCTGAAACATTACCCCCCCCCCCCCCCCCCCACCCCCCCACCCCCACTAAGGAAAACTCTTCGGCTATTGGCCAACAGGTCAAAAGTGCCAACTCCTATTCTCACGAGAGTAGCTTGAACCAATTTCTTGATCTGTGCATCAAATAGCCAATGAGAATCAGAAGCAACGATATCTTATTTGAAGACCCCTCATTGCCCGCCGCCTTAAACTGAGTAAGAACGATTGTGATGGAACGATTGCATGTTGGACCAACCAAGTCTGAACATCACCTGCGGGCATATATCATCATTTGTTGGACTGACGAGTATCGGTATGACAACGTTTTACCAACCACCCAATCTTAGTAGACACATCTGGATATGAATATGCTAGAACTGATTAAAGATTTGTGCTTTATTGTAAAAACCTTAATCGATATGAAGCTTAACAATATCAATGTATCAATATTTGCTGTGCAGAGTGCTGGGACCAGGACCCTCACGTGCGTCCCTCCTTCTCCTGCATCCTGGAGCAACTGTCAGCCATCGAGGAGGCGGTAATGGCCACCATGCCTCAGGACTCCTTCCACAGCATGCAGGACGACTGGCGCGTGGAGATCCAGGAGATGTTCGACGAGCTTAGGACCAAAGAAAAGGTACAGCTTTGAGCTTACATCAGTAATTCGTGGTTAATCAGCTGACACGGCATTCCCTCTCCTCTCATTCCTTTTACAATATAATAAGTTTGTTATTCATTCTTTATTGGACTGAAATCTCTGCTTTTACCTGTATTTAGTTTCAAAAGATCTCTAGAAACTCTTCTTGCATTAGCAAATTTCCTGTTAACATCTGACAAGAATCAGTAACAGGGTGGGTGACTGTAAAGCTGCTTTATTGAAGTCATCAAGTGTCGACTATTATTATTATTATTATTATTACTCAGCTGAGAGCAGTCAAAGTGAAAACAGGAGTGAAGAAAGGCTAAGCCATGTGAGAGGTCAGGCTGTAGCAGTCTGAAACAGCAGGCAGTAATCTCCTGCAGCCGCCATGATGGAGTTATCTAACCTTCCAGCTTCTTATCTCAGACTTCTCTTTACAAGGACTTTGTTTCTCATATTTGCTCTGCGTTTCTCTTCAGTCCCAAAAGATTAGCTTGGTTACTGTCGCACCAGACAGACAGCCTGAAGCTTGTTTCACGTAAAACCTCTGTGCATTCGTTTGGTTCCCCCAGGAGCTTCGTTCCAGAGAAGAGGAGCTGACTCGTGCGGCCCTGCAGCAGAAGTCTCAGGAAGAGCTGCTGAAGCGTCGGGAGCAGCAGCTGGCCGAGCGAGAGATCAACGTGCTGGAGAGAGAGCTCAACATCCTCATCTTCCAGCTCAACAAAGACAAGCCCAACGTGAAGAAGAGGAAAGGCAAATTCAAACGTTCTCGCCTGAAACTGAAGGATGGAAACCGCATCAGCCTGCCCTCAGGTCGGCAGAGCAGATCTAATCTTCCTTTTTCACTTTGAATCGCCTGATATTAATGCTTCTTCTGCATTTTTTTACAGCCAAATGGTAAAAAGTGTTTAGTTTTACCTTAAAAACACGTATCTGTTCACCAAAAACACGCCACTTTAGTTTCATGTGTGCAAGGATGCTAGTTGTGTAATCCTGTTATAAGACCAGCGATTGAAAACAACTGTGTTACACATATTCATGTTGCATCCTGCAGACTTTCAACACAAGATCACCGTGCAGGCGTCGCCCTCCATGGACAAGAGGCGAAGCCTTCACTGCACCAGCTCCTCTCCTCCCAGCAGTCCCACACTCATCCCCCGCCTGCGAGCCATTCAGCGTGAGTTCACTTCCTGGTTTATGTCAAAGTGTTTCAGATTTATTTTTTTGTTCTCGGGTGAATTTTTTAGCCTCTGTGGAGTCAAATCCGCTTGTTTAAAAATGTAACAACTGAAGGAATCACATCAGCTCACTGGGAGCTGAACACGGGCCCCGTGTCTTTCACGAGGACGAGAGACACGGGAACAAAAGCCAGAGCTTTAAGCAGTCAGCCAGTTGTTTGAACAGTGACAAGACTTTAGTCACGCACCAACGCCCTTGTAATAACCAGAGCAAATTCCTCTGGTGCATTTCTGCTAGATGGAGAAGTTCAGACACAGCAGATTGTTGCTGAGATTCACCGCAGCAGCATTAACAGATGACCTGATAACCAAACATAAACATATGCAGAAAAAGAACAGCAACACAGCAGCGGCTAACACAATTTCCTTTTAAATAACAAGTGATTCACTTGAGATGAGCTACACAACACATTCTAACGTGTTCAAGACCATTTCGAAAAATGGTACAGATTTTACTACAAGTGCCACTAATGAGATTTATGCCACAGATGTGGGCGTGTCTGCTCTTTCTGTTATTCTGTGTGTCGATATAAAGCATTAAAAATGTCTGTTAAAGTAAATTTAAGCAGGAAAAGTAAACTAAAGTACACGTTTTGGGTTTTATATCATTATTTAGTCAATCTAAATCTATAATCATAAAGCAACTTTCAAGCATTGATAAATCAACAGTGCTTTGCAGCAAACTTCAACTGACTCTTAAGTTAATGAAAACAAAATAAAAGAAGAACATTTTATGTTAGTAGGAATAAAATCTTAGCGGATAAACAAAAAGAGAAAAATGCATAAGCAACAATTAAGAGACATCAAAGTTTTTTTTTTGTTATACTTTGAAAAGATCAGCTTTAAGATGCTTCCTGTGTAGGAACATGTGTGGTAGTAACGGGACTCTGTCAACAGTTACTCAGGATGAGAGCAACCGTACCTGGGGCCGCAGCTCCCTCTTCAGGCCAGAGGAGTTTGACGATGTGAAAAAGGGAATCAAAAAGAAAGGAAGAACCTGGGGCCCCAGTTCAGTCCAGAGCAAAGAGCGGCCCGCTGCAGCTGAGAGGTGAAGGTCACACACAAACACGGGTTAGCTCAGCTAAGACCAGACGCGGGATTCATCTTCACCCGTCTTGTGTTTAGAGTGCGTCCTCTGTCAGACGGCAGCAGCCCCTGGTCCACCAGCCTGCTGAAGCCCCAGAAGTCTGTTCCCCTCGCTGCGTTGTTCGTTGAACAAGGTGAGCTGATGAGTTCGTAATTTCTTCAGTTTTTAACGTAAAATTAATAAATAAAACAGTAAAACACCTTATTATGATTCCTTATCAGCTCTTATTTATAAAATACATGAAAAAACATCACACCTGAGTTTTACTGTTTGTTTGGGGGTAAACAGTTTTTATGGCTTCCTTTATGATCTATTGGCAAGTACCGGCCAGAATAATAGAACGAAGTTTAAAACTTCCGTGTTTGTTGTTTTCTTTAGAAAAATTGTCAAAACATAGTGACGAGAATATTGAGGAATGCTATTCTTTGCAGCTGGAGACTTTTATCCATTTGAAGAACTAATCTGGGTTATTGATGTGTGCTGTCCATTCCTGTGTTCCCAGCGGGAGTCGGGAAAGATGAGGCGTTTTCCCAGGAATGTCCCGACAGCAGCTCCAAACCAAAGCAGCTCAAGTTCCCCAATCAGGTGTACATCGATCTACCTCTGTGGAGGGACGAGCAGCAGCCCCAGGGCCCCGGGGGGAATAACGGACCTGGAGATGCGGGGGTCGGCGCAGGAAGTCCGGGCGGCCCGCCAGAGACTCCTGACGACCCCTGCACCACCACGTCCACCTCATCCACCTCCACCACACCACAGCTGACCCCTACGAACAGCCTGAAAAGAGCATCGGCTCGCCGCAAGACAGACTCTGCGCTCTACGGCTGCGGGTCTTTGCTGGCCTCTCTGGTGCTTGGTTATGACATCAGGGAAGCGATCAAAAACTCAGCCCCAGGGGAGGATGGCGAGCCCCCAAAGGAGGAGAAGAAGAAGAAGGAGGGCCTATTCCAGCGGGCGACCCGGTTCCGCCGCAGCACCTCGCCACCAAGCGGTCGCTCCCGCAAGGAAGAAACGTCATCATCCAACAACACCGCCACCGCTGTCACCGCCGCCGTTGCCCAGCCTGTCAATCTCGTCTCCATGTCAGCCATCATGGAGTGCAACTCCACCAAGTGCCTCCTACAGTCGGAGGTGGAGGTGTCAGAGCCCAGCCCTTCCAAGGCCGAGCATGTGGCCAACAATCACCGCTCTGACCCACCCAGACCCGGCAGAGCATCAGCAGAGAAGCCCAGTAAAAAAGCTGAGACACAAAAACCAGTACAGAACCAGAACCAGCCCCCAGAGCAGAGACACCACAACACAGGAACACGTCTGCGCAGAAAGAAGTACACCACCAACCACACCAGTGAGTAGGCCACGCTACTAGGAAGGGAGGGGTGTGGGATTTGTTCTGTTCACTGACTCTTCTCTTTCTTCTCAGCCAACGGCCCGCCCTCCGTACCACCTCCTGCCGCGCAGAAGAAGCAGCAGAAAGATGAAAAGCCAGTGAGCGGAGAGGCCGTCCCGCGGCCGGTTTCATTCCGGGCCAAGCCTCACACCTGGGCCCTGCTCCGAGGACGCAACAAGAGCTACTCACTGGGTCACTACTCCGGGGAGAAAGCAGCCCAGAACCTGAACATGGTGCTGTCTGCGGAGGTGGGCTGCTCCCTGCTGGACATGGACACAGAAGGACAGAAACGGGACTGCACCGTGCCTCTCTGCCGCATCCAGAGTTCCCCGGCACGGCCCTCCGTCTTCGAGCTGGAGAACAAGTTCCTCTCCTGAGAGCCTGGAGAAGGAAATCTGCCCCCAATCCAGACGATCCAGACCCAGGCTGCCTTTGTCTTTTTTGTTTTAGGTTCTGTTTAGGGCAGTAGAACCCAGATCTGTCTTAGAGCCAGAGCACGGTGACACCAGCATGTCACTGAGACTGAGAGCAGCCTTTAGTCACTGCCATGCCTTCAGAACACACACACACACACACACACAGAGCACTGAACCTGAGTGGGACATTTCAGAGCCAGATCAAAGTCTTTGTCGCCCCCTCCCTGTTTCATCTCATCACTGCAGCTCAACGTTGACCGCTGCTGCAGCTCTCCCCACACACCACCCCCACCTTTTTATTTATTTTCATTAGTAATTTAATATGAAGACTCGACCTCACCATAGCTGCTGCAGGAAACACATTCCACGTCGGCTTCAGAGGTGTGTGTGATCACACTCGTAGAGAATCATGCATGCATCTGCTTTTTAAATGTTTGAATATGACTTTTTACCCACTACCAGCCTAATGCTGCAGTCTTTTTTTACTATGTTTATGACTTTTTTAAAGTGAAGCCGTGCTGCAGAACCGTGTGTGTTCCATTAAAAAGGATCATAGTGTGTGTTTCCTCTCGCAACGCCCTGAGGATTTTTTACATGCAGGTAGAAAAACACTGGAAGTCTTACAAAGCAGACACTGAGAAGCTGTGGTCATGTGCTGCTGATATGTATTTATAGATGTTTTTGTTTTGGGGGGAGGGGGGTGGACCTCTTCAAGCGTAAATGTTCAGTCAAAAATAAAATAAAAATCATTGCAAATCGATGAATTAAACCACATTAGAAACAAGTGTAAGTCGCTTTGGACAAAAGCGTCTGCTAAATACATAAACATAAACATAAGTGATGAGCTGAAATGTTGATATTTGATCTGCAGTGCCAGGTTGTTTCATCAGTCATTCCCCATCTGTTTGCCCCTTTTGTATTTCAGTATTTATAATTGAACTGTTACGTTTACTTGGTTTCTTATTTAGTTTAGTCTGTTTTGTTTCTGATTTTATTCAAATTTTAGCAATAAATGTCTCCATCTGCTCAAATAGCCATCTAAAAAGGCCCAGGAAGGTCTGGAGATGTTTGAATTTGACTAAAGACAAAGGCTCATTATTATTATTATTATTATTATTATTATTATTATTATTATTATTATTACTGTAAACAAGCAGCCAGTTATGTTTTGCTCAGGAGTCCCAAAGGACTGAATATCTTAAACTGAAAAGCAGATATTTGCAAATCTGACTGAATGTAGACCTAAATATGCAGGTATGAGTTACAGTTCAAGGGTCACTAAAATGTTTACTGAGAACTAATTATATGCCCGATCATTGTTTCACTGTTTAACTCACCAAGAACTTATTTTCATGAGGTAATGAATGACCAGATGGTGTAAATAAAGTCCTGATATGTTTATTTTTTCTGTATTTTATGACCACAGCCTTAAAAGACCAGCTGGGGCCTTAGCAACTGTTTAGGGTGCTGTCTGTTTTTCAGTCCTGTAAGTTTCACTCAGCGTTTGTCATCCACCGTCACGTTCAACACACGTTTCTGTCGGGATTCTCCATGACTCAACATTCCACTGCACTGGATGAAAGGCAGCAACACTATTTCTAAAGCTTCTGTGTTGCGTGAAATGCACCGGCACTGATTCTTCTCCGATCCAGAACCACTAACAGAACCTGCTGCTTTGTGAGAACATCAGCGGCTTGTGCAGCTGGTAGACCTGATGATAAAAAGTATCAAAAATGATAAAGCTTGTGTCACACTGACTATTTTCCGGCTCATGATTTCCGTTAAACTGTTTGTCATCTTTACAGTATTGTTTTTTTTTTCATGCCTGATCGATAAACGTTATCATGTTTTATCATTTTAAATAAAATCTAAGTCAAGGCTATTGTGTGCGTGTTTTTATTTTTTTGTCTTGTTGCAAATGATAAATTATGCAAGAGCATTCTAGTAATTTTTTCTAGAGATTTTTTTTTCAGTGAACAAAATACAGGAAATTTCCAGGAGATAAGGGAGTTTTAAGGCCAAAACGGGAAACATGACAGCTGGTTCTGAGGTGTGATTGCTGCTGTGGTCTATAACCAAATATCGGATCCCATTGTCGGTAAATCTTTACTTGATTTGTGCCAGCCTGGTTTTAGGCTGCACCACTGCACTGAAATTGCCCTTATTTGTGTGCTGAATGATGTCTTGGTGTGTTCTGATTCTCACGCACTACTGCTTTTATTAGATCTTTCCGCAGCCTTCGATACAGTTGACCATTCCAACTTCCTGGACCATCTTGAGTCCTGGGTGGGTCTCAAGGGTACCACCTTGGAATTTTTCTGTTCCTACCCTTTGGACAGGCCTTTTAGTGTTGACATTGGTGGGTGTACTCCCGGTCTCCTTCTTCCTTAGGGATTGCCACAGGGTTCTTTGTTAGGTAATTTTCTTTTACCATCCAGGGTTACCTTAGGGAAAGTTCAGGGGTTATATTAATAAGCCGATCGATTAACCCATACCAATCTTTACTATCAATAAACAATTTAAACTTTGCAAAGTGGAGAGAGATCAGTGATACGCACAAGTCGGTAGTCAATTCGCTCTCATCAGACAGAACCCTCAGAAAGCATTTAATAAGGACACACAAAATGGTAAAACGCACACACATTTACACACACTAAATCATTGACGCACACACTTTTACATTCCTTTAGACTCTCAGCGAGCAGGGAGACATCAGGTGCGGGTTATAAATCAACAACCAGAAAGCAGTCACAGGGCGTTCTTACTGATAAGCCAGGACTGGAAGGAAAGAGGCTAGGTCGAACCTTCCCTTCCCTGTAGGTCAAACGCTTGTCTGTTGCCAGAGTAAAATAAACTGGACGAACCTTTCATTTAAAAGTAATTTATCCATAATGTATCCAACAGTTCTGTCCTTGGGCTACTACTTTTTTCCATTTATATCCTCCTTTTGGAACCAGTCCTGGAATAGTATGGCTTAAAATACCATGTTTACGCTGATGACTGCCAAATTTACCTGGCCATGAACAGATCAAATGCTGTCCAACCCCATCATGGCTGCCTACCCGACGTGAGAAGTCCTAAAGTGTGCCGCCTAGCTTGTTTAAAACTGATTGTTAAGTGGCTACTGTCACGATACGGTGGTGTGGACCCAAAATGCAGTACCCAGGATGACACGGAGGCAGGGATGAAGATCTTAAGTAAAAAGTCTTTATTTTGTGGATGAGCCAAAAACCAAGGTAATCCAAACTGGGAGTCAAAATCCAAAAAGCCAAAAATCCAAAAGGTCAAAAAGCAGATATTTATCTGGGAATCAAAAAAAAACTCTGGTTAAACACAGAGGGACTAAACTGACAGAATCAACAAACATTAATGGACCGACACAAGACAAAGACCAGGCAGGGCTTAAATAGACTGGGAGAGGCAATCAGGAAAACAGGCAGCAGGTGTGCGGAGTGAGCTGCTGGAGGGAAGGCAGGTGATGATAATAATCTTAATGGGGAAACAGAACAGAGAATGGCAGAAAACCCTAAAATACAATATTTAAACCTAAAGACTGGGGGAAAGGCTCACACAAACACTAACTGGGCAGGACACGCACACACACACACAGAGCAGGGGACTGAGAGGCTGGGGGCTACAAGGACACAGAAAATGAAGACCTGGAAGGGCTGGGGAGGAATGAGATGAAACGGGACCTGGGAGGAATAATTGTACCGGTACCACATAAGACACAAAGACTGAGACGAGGACAAGGACACATGAGGGCGCTATGAGACACAAAAGGGAATCTAGAGAGGGATGGAGGCCACCAGGAGGCACAAAAAAGGAGGGGGCCGACGCAGACCATGACAGCTACATTTAGATTTGGTCATACAGGCTTTTATTACATCACACCTGGATTATGCTAACTTGACCCTCACCTCAGCTGCAGAAGGTTCAGAACACAACTGCCAAGTTTTTGACAAACACCAATCAACGGCAATATATTACTCCTGCACTGAGTTATCTACACTGGCTCCCAATTCATTTTTGGGTAAAGTTCAAGGTCCTGATCTTTGTTTTAAGGTGTGTTGAGCAGGTGTTCCTCCACATTGTCATGTTCTGCGTTCCCCTCATGTGTCCTCTTGTGCTCTGTGTCCTTATGCTTCCCCAGCCCACTCCAGGTTCTCCTCATGTGTATTCCCCAGCTCTCTCTTGGCTTCCCTCATGTTTCCTCCTAGTCACTCCCGTGTAGTTCTTATTGGTTTGTATTAGACCTCCTCACCCCTCTAGTCATTGGTTGTTTATCTTTGCCCTTAGTCTTTAGGTTTAGTTATTTAGTGTTTTATAGGTTATGGTTTATCTTCCCCTCTGCTTAGTTCTTTCCCCATTTAGTTTATTGATGGCACCTGTCTCCCCTCTAGACCTCAATCCTCACACCTGTCACCTGTTCCCCTGATTGCTTCCCTCTGTGTTTAAAAACCCTGTCTTGTCCCTCAGTGGTTGTTGGTCCATTGTCTTTGTCAGCGTTGTTCTGTGCTCCTCAGGAACTCCAGGTTCCTGTTCATGGATGAGCTTTGTTTTTGTAGTTCAGTTTTCTCTGGATTTTTGGTTTGGCTTCCTGCCCCTTTGGATTTTTACCCATAATCCTAACAAAGGACTTTCATTCATTCAACCGGTCCTGCCTGAGTTGTCTGGGCTTCTGCAGTTTGGGTCCAAACCTCGTGCTCTCAGCGCGACACGCATACCATAAATCACGGGCCTTTGTGTTTGCTGCTCCCATACCTAGAAATGCGCTTCCTCTTTCTTTTAGACAGGTACCATTCTTCACTCGCTTCAAGTCACCATTGAACACCCATTCCTATGACTTGGCATTTGGCCAGTGATTGTTTACCACTCGTGCTTTGTTTTATTGTTTGTATTAATTAGTTTTATTTGCTGTATTTTAAGTCCGCTTTTATTGTACAGCATTTAGGTCAGCTCTCATGCTGAGTTTCAAACTTGCTTTAGATTTGAAATAGTATGTTAAGGTATGGTAAAGCATGCTTCTCATTAGATACATGACATTGTGAGATTTCAGGTCAGCAGTCTGGAGGGAGGGACTTAAGTTGAGAATATTGTGGTATTCTGCCCTCAAGGAGTGAAGGGGGGTGTGAAAATATCACGTAAAGGTATTACATATGGATTTAATTGTATTTTAGCTATAAAAAATGAGAGTATGTTAAAGCTAGTTACCCTTTTGTTTATGCCAAAAATGCCATTAGTGTTTTCATTTGCAAGAATTTACGGGAAGTGTTTCTAGTCAGTAACTATTATATCTTTATAAACGTCGTTCCTTTGTATTCCTCTCATTAACACTCCCAAGAGAATATAAGAAAGACTTCAGTGAGATAAGAAGGCCATATTTTTACTTAAACGCCTCAAGCAGTGGTTCAGGAGGTAGAGCGGGTTGTCCAGCATAGGAGGTGCAGCACTCTGAACTTAAACCCCAGAACTCTTAAAGTTTGACATTTATTTATTTATTTATTTATTTATCTATTTGTTTGTTTGTGAGTGTTTTTAAGTAACTAGTAATCAAATTGAATAGCAGGTTTTTTTTACTGTTTGTTCTATGTCTAAATCGACTGACTTAATAGAAACACTTGCTCAAAATGTTTTTAACGCCATGTCTTAAAAGAATGGGGAACTTACGCCCTCCACTGGCAAAAAGTAGAACAACTCTCTGGTTTCCAACAGCATCTAAAGAAGGCAAGACAGGGAGTTGCTCCAATGTCTGAAAGCTGGTACTACACTTTTGGTTTTTATAACCAGTTAGAAGAGGATATTTAGCCTCCTTATCTTAATAAAGCTTTTACAAAAGTAAATCTCTGTTTTTAGCTAGCTCCTATTAGCTCTAGCTGTAGCAGGTTGATGTTATTTAACAGAAAATAGATTTGTTGAGTTTTAAAGTAGTTTGTATAAGTGAAGACATTCTTCACATTAGTTAGACGAACTATGCTGTTAAGATTAATTTAAAACCTGCAGTACTTTCAAGTGGTATAATTCATTTTGAAGGAACTGACAGGAAATGCTATTGAATTTTGTATTGTTAACTTTTATGAACGCTGCCTGTAGTAACAGCTTTGGTCCACACACTAATAAGCAAGAATAAAGACAGCTGCATGAATCAAAAAAGGTCTGTAGTTTATTTTCTGTTCTGATTACATTGGCTTTAGGGCTTTTCAGACCCATCTCTAAACTTCCGTTCATCTCCAAGATCTTGGACAAGGTTGTGGCTAAACAACTCACAGCTGCTCTTGATGAACAGAACATCTGTGATAGCTTCCAGTCAGGTTTTTGTAGAGCTCATTCTACTGAAACAACTCTTCTTAGGGTCTCTAATGACCTTCTGACTCACAGTGATGCAGGGGACTGTTCTGTTCTGGTCCTGCTGGACCTGACTGCAGCCTTTGACACTGTTGACCATCACCTGCTACTGGAGAGGCTAAGAGACTGGGTAGGCCTATCAGGAACTGCTCTGGAGTGGTTCTTCTCTTATCTTTCTGAGCGCTCCTTTTCTGTGGCCGTCTCCAGGTTTAGGTCCTCCACCACCTCCTTTACCCATGGTGTCCCACAAGGTTCTGTGCTGGGGCCTCTGCTCTTTCTCCTCTATCTGCTTCCTCTTCAGCACATCCTGAGCTCCTTCAAAGGAATCTCCTACCATCTTTATGCAGATGGCATCCAACTGTACATCTCCTTTAAGCTCCATGAGATGTCTAAGCTGCAGCTGTTACACACCTGCTTAGACTCTATCAAAACCTGGATGGCTGGGAGCTTTCTACAGCTGAATGATATAATATCGCGTTAGTGTTCATACTTGTTTAATTTGTCATTTTAATTTTGGTGCCTGTTAGCAACCGAAACACATCCTCACATGCTTATGGATATGACATATTGTATATGAAGATAGGACTATAATAATAAGTGAAGGTTATCAGCTGTAGTTTTAGTGTGCTTATAGGAAACATGAGAAAGTAACACAAAACACATTTCTGTTTATGGCCTATGTAGTTGTCATCATCAACATTACATGATTTACAGAATACAGGTGAACAACTAACATTTCATATTCTCCCACTGGATGTTTGAATCAGAATGTGAACCAATCAGGTCTTACATCAGGTGAGAGCCAGGCGTTTCCCGTCATCCCCTAGGTTTTGCAGCCGGTGGAGAGCAACTGCAGTACCTTGATCCAAAATCTGCGGCTGCATTGATCTCACGAGGATATCGTTGCCTACATATGCATGACGTCAGAACAAGTCGGCATCAAGTCGGACACAAATCTAACCAGCATGCACTGTGCGCCGATCACCAGTGATCTAATCTGCGCAGAACTGGCGCATCTCGAACAAGGCCATTGTGTCCAAACTGAAACAACAAGACTATGAGCCCCACAAGGGGTGAGCCAATCTTCTGGGTAAGATGGTGTTGCGGAATTCTAACTCGTCTGTAGGAAGCAAAACACAGCAAAAACAGTCAGGAATTAGTTTGTTTTGACGGTGGGAAAATGGATTACATGAATCTAGTGGATTTTCTTTTTTTTACCGGAGCACGGATTATGATCACAAATCGGCAAAGGTATGACAGAATTTATGCTGCTGACAAGGGATGAGCCGGGTACTCGTTTCAGACGAGTATCCGGTATGGATAAAGCATTTTTGACGAATACGAGCATGATATGAGTAAAACTCGTAAATATCTGTAATCGTGCTGAAGGAAAATCCTCATTGGGTAACTGACTGTCTTCACGCTCTGTGATTGGCCAGTCACATAGTGCACCCGCCCCTCCCTACACACAAAATTGCAGCCGGCTGGGAGCGCAGTCCATCCGGCTCATCCACGCACACACACAGATAGTAACGGATCTCGCTGTGCTTGCTTCACTGTTGCTCACGTTTCTTCAGTTTTCCCTAGGTTTTCTTCAGCTCGCCTCTTTTTTGGTTGAATAATTAAAATGACTTTTTTCGTAACTTACCTGGTGCATTTGACAAGACAGAGCTGACGTGCTGTGTCGTTTTTTTTTTTTTTAGTTTTTTTTAACTCCCTCTCTCTCCCTCTCTCTATCTCTCTCACACACACATACACACACACACACACACACACCTTAATCAACATTGTTTTGTTCAACTTTGTGGGGGGAAATGCCAAGAACGTTAAGAAAAAATCAGTTTAATCAAATTAAAATAAAATGGTTCTAGTATTTCATATTTCCTAGTTCCTACTGCATGAGTTCAGATGTATTAATCCATGCACTTATATATTAATGTTCTCATTTTATTGAAAGATTTGTTCTGTAATAGTTTCTTTACTATTGTGATCAAAAATATTTAATCTCAATTCTGAGGCTGCTCTGTAAATAGTTTTCAAATAAACAATACACTTAGCAACTTCTGATCAATCCATATTAATTTCAGACTTAAAATAATATATTGATGTAAACCACGCCCACTTCCGGGTTATGCCACGCCCATTCCGAGTACAGATACAGATACAGATAATTTAGTTGGTTGAACAGATACACATACAGATACAGATAGTGGTGTCCTCGCTCATCCCTACTGCTGACTGTCGAAAAGGAGCTATGTTGGTCTCTGTTTGATCGCAGCTGGCTTTGTGAGTTTTTATGGTACAGAAATGAGACTTATATTGTTTGAAAGAAGAGAATCTTGGCTTTATTTTGAGTGGCTGGCTTTCTGGATAGAATTGTATTGTCGCTATTGTGTGTTTTCCTCAGGCCTTGCTTGATATATGCAAAGTCAGTGTTTTGTTTTTTAAACTTCCAGTTGATTTAAAGGCTCAGTGTGTGAAATAGGTGTTGCTGAGGTGGAAAACAGTGTCTTCATTGTTTAGACTAGCTTCTTCCCGTTTTGTGCGTGTGTAGTTTGCTTATATTGGTGAATATTAAGTGTGGTTTTTGAACAACTTTAAAACCGAAACCAAATCCGGACCCGGTACCGGGTCCGTGGGTTTTAAGGAGTTAAGGAATCAAATTTACTGTCTAATACAAACCATAAAAAACTATTAAAGTAGCATCTCATTCAGCAAGTTGTAAAATTAATATTTAAATCTAATTTTTCCTAATTGCAGTTATGCCTCGTTAACATAATTTGAACTGCGTACTGATCAATTTAAAGCACCAACAAATCCACTGCAGTTTGTGTTTAAACAGATACATTTTAGGTCTTTATTTGAAGGTTTTTATAACTCAGAAATTAAACACAAATGGTTAAACACAGTGTGAAAAACTTTCTGAAAGATTTGAAACATTTAAACTCAGTAGTGTATAAGATACAGACAAGATAAACATAGCTAATACAGTGGCGTGTCCAGATCTTTTAAAATGGGGTGGCCCATGTGAGGCACTACTTTGTGCATGGGTGGCACCAATGGTTATGCCTTTTTTTTTTTTACCTCAAGCCTTTTGTGGACAATGAAAAGCCCATTTAAAGGGAATTCAGTGTGGTGGCACCTGGGGTGGCCAATCAGATTCCAAGGGTGGCATTCGCAACCCCAGGCCACTCCCTGGACACGCCCCTGAGCTAATATTGCTAAGTAGCTAAAACACATTTTAAACATGAAATGTACCATAAACATAGTAAAATTGTGAATAAATAAAATAAAAGGTTCTACTCCTAAAGGCTACCAAACAAATCATAAAATAAAATCACAACTAAAACACTAGGGAAACCACTTCAGTCATTATCAGCAAATATGCTTAAAGTCTGCCAGCAACCTTTGCATTTAGATTATTTTGTCTACATTTACTTGAGAAAATTCCCAGAATCAGCAAGAGATTCAATAACTGCATCCTTTTTCTAAGCAGAGGCTGCAGCCGTCGAGGTAGTGAGGGAGATTAAAGCTGTAGTGATGGGTAAATCGGTGCATCTGCAGAATGAAAAAAAGTGAAAATCAGCTTTGTGCACAAGGGAGGAACTCTTCAGAGTGGTTTCAGGATGTGGAAAGGGTGTGGTGAGTGGAGGTAATTTTAGTCATGGTCGAGAAACTGAAGATTTCTCCTCCAGCAGTTTCATTTTCCTTCCCTCTCTCTGATTGTTACATGAGAGCTGATACCTGAGCCCTCAACTGAAGATCTTTTGTCACAACAAAGCGGATGCTTTTCACTTGCTGACATCCAAGATGTGTGTAAAATTGTCACGGATGTGACACATTTTCACGGCTAGTGAGGTTTTTTTTTTTTTTTTTTTTTGCTACTGCAGGATGTCCATAAGCTCATGTCAGGATGAAAGACGAGTGCCTGCAGCATTCATATTATGAGAGTGTGTGTTTGCACCTGCACGGGTCAAGGCGTCGTGGTGCATTTAGTGGAGCTGCGGAGGCTGCTCTTGAAAAAAAGTCTTGGGATGACGACCTGGGCCTGGAAGCAGTATTTGGTATTGGGGTCCAGCTTGGTCAGAGTCCTCTCATTAGAGGTGATCTCAGAGACGTCCTGGGGAGGAGAGAGAGGAAAGCTCCACAGATTTAGAATCAGACAGAGGTACATGGTAACATTTCAGGGACATCCATCCATCCATTGTCTGAACCCGCTTGTCCACGCAGGGTCGTGGGGGGACTGGTGCCTATCTCCAGCGGTCATTGGGTAATCAGGCGGGGTACACCCTGGACAGAGAGCCAGTCCTTCGCAGAGGAACACAGAGACACACAGGACAAACAATCATGCACACACACACACACACACACACACACACACACACACACACACACACACACACACACACACACACACACACACACACACACACACACACCTAAGGACAATTTAGACAGACCAATCAACCTAACAATCATGTTTTTTGGACTGTGGGAGGAAGCCGGAGTATCCGAAGAGAACCCACGTAAGCACAGGGAGAACATGCAAACTCCATGCAGAAAGATCCCAGGCCGGGAAGCGAACCCAGGACCTTCGGCAACAGCTCTAACCGCTGCGCCAGTGCGCAGCCTCATTTCAGGGACAATTAGACATTTTTTGTTGATTCCTGATTTAGAATGGGTTTTCTTTGGCTTCAGCTGCTCTGTACATATCTACAGTAACTCTGCATCTGTACATAGACCTTGTATGTCAATCATATGACATCAGAACACCACAGTCCTGTGCAAAACCATAAAACTACCAATTAGGTTTTCTGAAGTTTTTTATTTATTTATTTATTTATTTTACTTCAGCTGCCTTTTATACATTTTTTGTCCGGTTTTTGACTTTGGTCCTTGGTATTAAAAAGACAATTTGAAGTCTTTACCATTAATCTCTGGAAATCTCCATTAAAATGTTGTTGAAAATGAATGAAATGATCCCAAGTTGTTGAAAAATATTGGCGGCTTTGTAACATACCGTATAACCACAAATATCGAGTCTAATATACAGGGGAGCAGGTCTAAGGCCCAATCCCAATACTCACACTTACATACGTGCACGATCCCGGTCAGGGGTGCGAGTGTGTAGGATGTCCCGATTCTCAAGTGCAGAAGTTGATCACGCCCCTTTCAAGGATGTAGTATTTTGGGGGGGTGCGACGTGTCCCCCTCGCTTTTTCCAAAGTCAGTTTTTGTCCCCTGCCCTTTTTGCCATCCAAAACCAACATTACGCTATATTAAATAGACACAGGTAGAGCATGAGGACCAAGTGGAAAACAACTGCTTGTGTTGAAGCTTGTTTCCCATTAGAACCGTCCGAGCTCATCTATTGGCTCTGCTGATACTTGCTAACGTGTGATTGGCCGTTCCTGCTGCCTGTGTACTTGACAGCTCTGCATAACAGAGCCTCTAGGCTGTAATTTTATTCATATTTTTTGTATACTTATACTAAAGACCAAAATACTGAAAACCCACAAGAGCTGATACATGTAATCTCATTAAGATTACAAGTAAATCTGTCTCTTCAGAAGCAAAAGCAGAAGGGCTGATGAAGCACATAAACCGTTGGTGTTTCCAGTCACACTTAATGTTTTTCCTCAGAGAAGTGAGATTTCTCATCACAACACTGACATTTGGACAACAAAATGCTGTAATTAGTCTGTTCTTCTCTCTGTAATTGTTCTGTTCTTCCTCTTCCATCTCCTCTCCGTTTGTTTCCTCTTTATTTTTTTAATGGTGAGGATGACATGTGGTGACCTTAAAAATGATTTTTATTTGTATTTTATGTTTTCTTTACTGGATATTTTCCATTTAGAGTGATTTGGGTTCATCAGCCGACCTCAGACATAGTCTTGTTCAGCCTTTGGCAGGTAAACATTTGTGCATACCTCACTTCCATTGGCATGGATGGTGTAGATGTTGTACAGCAGACTGTGTTGCTTATGTAGGTTGCGGGCCAACACTCGAGATGGTTTCACGTGGACCACGATGCCTTGCTTGGTGGTGTTTAGCTTCAGTGAGGGGGGGCTGATCTGGGCTGCAGAGATGCACATTTTTTAGAGTTTATTAGTAGAACCATGAACACAATTTCAAAAATTTAAGGGGATTTAAAAAGATCTACAATTGGTTGTTTTTGTTCATTTTTAACTAAATGACCTGATAAACCCAAGCATCAGGTACTTTGCATCTGACTAGAGTGGATTATTTAAATATAGCTGAACTTTATCTTCCCTTTGACTCATATATTTAAATCATAACAAATATTTAATACTTTAATCAGAGTCGGCTCCAGGTCGTGTGTTTTTCAGTGAACTGCTGCAGCTGTTTAACTATACAATAACTCAGAATGAAGAGGAGGAAGGTGTTGATGATGAAGAGGAGTTGTGTTGAGACTCACTGTCCCAGCATGGGCTGAATCTGGGGGACAGTGCCCAGGAGGATTTGCTGCAGGAGCACCCAGAGGAGGCCCTCACTCGAGCATAGTACCACTCCCGAATGTACTTGGTGACTCTGCTGAGGTCACAGTGGTGCTTCTGGATCCCCTGACAGCCCTCGACATCCAACCACACGGGCTCGCCGTAACTATAGACATAAACGCAGAGGGTGGGGGTCAGATCAGGAACTCAGCAGGGATCTGTTATAAGTGAAAGTGCTGTTCTGGGCTGCATTCCTATTCTCCATTTGTAAATGCTGGTAATGACACAAAAGTGGTGTTTCCTGTTCATGGAATGCAGCCATGTCAAGTTCATGTTGTGAAATAGGTTTTTTGTTTCATTGTGTGTGTGTGTGTGTGTGTGTGTGTGTGTGTGTGTGTGTGTGTGTGTGTGTGTGTGTGTGTGTGTGTGTGTGTGTGTGTGTGTGTGTGTGTGTGTGTGTGTGTGTGTGTGTGTGTGTGTGTGTGTGTGTCAAGTCTCACATCTTCCACTGGACATCATAATGCAGTGAGGAGCTGTTGGTGGGTGGAGTCCAGTGCAGAACGTGTCTGTAGTCTGCAGACTTAAACATCACCTGTGAAGGTGGAACGAGCATCTCTGGAACAGGAAAGTGATTTTAGGAACTTAAACGAGAAAAAGATGAGACTGAAGAAAATACAGACTAGAAGCAGTTGAAAAATGTTCAAGTTAGTTTGTATTTAATCTGGAGACATCTCAAAAACAACCCCATAGAAGAAAAGAGACTGACTGACTAACTAACTAACTAACAAATTCAATGATTTCATGTTCATGTTGCATCTTTGTGAAGCTGAATTGTGACAATTCCTTCCTAAATTATAACCATTTGTAAATGACTTAATATTTGATGATTCTCTTAGGAAATTTAGTCAAACTTACATTTCTCTCTAAACTACTCTGAAGATGAGTGTAGCTCTGCATGTGGATTTACCTTGAGTCGTGATGGAGAGGCTCAGGTTCTGCAGCAGCAAAGTGGCGAGCAGCAGGTGAGTCATGTTGCTGTTTGACGACCCACACTCAACAATCCATGCAGCTGCTGTCTAACCTTTAAAGAACATCAACTTCCTTCTTTAAATGCCACAATTTCTGATGTAATGAGAATGACTAGAGGACCTTTCCTTTTTTTTTCATCTGTAACACGACTCACTTTTTCTCTTTTTACAAGAAACAAAAAAACAAAAAGAATATCACAGTATCACGGTCAATGGATGATGCTGCAACGCCTCAGAAGCAGGGATGAAGTGTTCAAGTCCAGGACTCCAAATAGAGTCATGACTCGAGTCACGTTCGAGGGACTTAACTCGAGTAGTATGCACTTGGATTAGCAAAGTTAGACTTGAACTTGGACTTTAATGTGCAAATGTGATGAGCCGTGTTCATCATTTCCAAAGAGTCCACACGCACCGCGCATTGTGCAACTTCGGCAAGCTTTAGTCAGGAAAAAGCAGCACCAATTGTACAAAACGCAGAGGGACAACACGCCATCACCAAGCTAACACAGTAGATTTAGAAAGTACATGTAAAACAGTAAATAATAAAACATGCTTAAAGAGGGCTTACACTAGCCCGGCAAGCCAGATTAAATAAATAGATTTTTAGTCTGGGAACGCTCCATTGATGGTTCTTGGTCATGGGCCGGGTTCTACCGTTGTCTTTCAAACGGTCTCTGCATGCTAACAGACAACGAACCGGTACAGCAACGGATGTCGGTCGACGTGTCAGTCTGCTGTTGAAAGGGACTTTTCGGACTTTTGAATTTTTATGCTCGCGATTGGCCCCTCAAGCCAAAAGCTTAACGGCAGCTTCCATAGTAGGCTCGTGCACGAGGCATGCATGCTGTACGTGCACACTCCTTAACGAAAATAACAGCTGAGACAGTCCCGTGTGTGTGTGTGTGTGTGTGTGTGTGTGTGTGTGTGTGTGTGTGTGTGTGTGGCCCGGAGGACAGAGGACAGGAGAACATGCAGCTAATTAATTAAATAATTTGGTTCTGTACCTTTCTCTTCAGCACAGCCGACAAAGGTTTATGATGGGTCAGTCCTCCTGCATGCTCAGATCATTCCCTTCCCTTGCTTGAAAAATGGTTCCAAAATGAAAGTTGAACCCACATCTTTTTGATCTGTGAATTCAATGCCGTTCTGCGAGTCTCAAATAAAAAAAAAATACCATTAATGTAAAAAAGAAACTATATTCACACCCAGAATTGAACCCAGGTTTTCTGCATGAGAGTCAGACATCTTTCAAAGTGAGCTACACACCATTAGCATTCAAAGTATCTGTAACTTTTATATCCTTGATGACACCTGAAACAACGTCAAACCAAAGAACGGTTCGAAGCGAAAAAGGCTATGTTGTTGCTAATTTGCAGGAAATATCTAGAAGAAAGTAGCTAAGGGTCCTCAGAAATGTAGCTAGGTTCATCACTAGGCGTTAGGAACAGCGACAAAGTCGCTGAGTTGGAACTGCCTCTCTCTCTGCTGCTAAAGCTATGGATAGCAAATGCTACGGGCTATGCCTGAGCGTGAACGCACATGAAGCAGCCTGCTCGACCCGAGCAACTCTCTTTTTCTGTGATTTTACAGAAAAACAGGCAATCACAGTAAAAATGCCAGGGCTCATTCTACAGGACCAGGGCATTGCAGGAGAATGTATGAAGAAGAAATTTATTATTTCTATACATGTTTTGGCTGTCAAACTTCCATAACATCCCTTTGGAGAAGGCTAAAATACATCCTTTTTCTAAATAAAGGACCTAAATACATCTATCTGCTCCTAATTCTGATAAAGCCCGAGTAGTCCTCCAAATGTTTGTGTGTTTTGCCAAACCCTCCATGGGTAAAGCTTTGTCGAAGCAAAGACTTTCTCATTGGATTGTGGAGGCCATTTCCCTATGTTACAGCGTCACTGGCTCCCAGCTGCCCCTAGGGGTCAGGGCACACTCTACTAGAGGTGTTGCTGCTTCTTGTTTGATAGCTGCTCATGGGGCGTTTTGATAAGTCCCATAGTACCTTTGTTGTACTGAGTGAATCGACTGAAAGGGAATATTAGGTTATGCATACAACCACTGTTCCCTGAAGGAGAGGAACGAGGTACAACGCAGGGCTGCCCCATTCACGGCCCAGCTCGGTGAACAGCGGCTATCAAACTGAGGAATGACAGTGACGCGGTCACTTATAAGTGGAGGGCGGGGCCTCCACGCAGCGTCACTTTCATTTGCCTTACAGGCATGATTAAATGTGCCTTCAGCAAGGCCACACGAGGGCGTGATGTCCCATAGTACCTTCGTTGTACCTCGTTCCTCTCCTTCAGGGAATAGTGGTTATATGCATAACCTAACGTTTGCTGTGGTTGCTGGTGTGAAAGAATGTCTAGTGACTTGTTAGGGTTAGGGTTAGGGTTAATCTTTATGATTTTCCAGTATAAATCGTTGGTAGTTAAAATAAAATTCTCGATTAAATATTTCATAGAAAAGACCCACAAAGTGATGTTTGAGAAATGAAACAGAGTTTATAAGATTTACAAAAAGTGTGCAATAATTGTTTAAACAAAAATAGGCAGGTGCATTCATTTGGGAACGGTTGTCATTTTATTGATTACGAAACCTTTAAAACTAATTATTGAAACTCAAAATTGGTTTGGTAAGCTCAGTGACCCTTGACGCAAGGCCGGATTATAATACGGAAAAACTGGGCACAGGCCCAGGGGCCCACAGCCATAAGGGGGCCCACGCGAGCAGCAGTCTTTTTTTTTTGTGCAGCAGTCAACGTTGTAGAAAAAAGTTGACAATTAAAATTGTACCCACATTTTCTAAGTTAACACACATTTCTTTTAACAACAGCAGTTTTTGCATCTTTACTGTTCCTGCTTCAGCCCTCTCCCCCCTCCCCCTGCACAGTGGCTGCAAACTCACTGATGCGCCTGCAGCCTCAGAGTTCCTGCTGATCTAAAATTTAAAATAATTATTTCATTTTATGTTCCTCACTTGTAATTACCTTCAATGGTGTCTGTTTGTTGCAACCACCAGGTACAAAAACTAACTTGTTTTTATTTGACTATTTTTCTGTCCTGTCTGTTTATTATCTTCCTGCATCTCCTCTCAATCCTAAAAAAAAACTGCTACCTGGCTTCATATTTTTTCACCTTATGAGTTACCTTTGAACTGCAGTTCAAAAAGATCTTCCTACCACAAAAAAAGCGGACTGCGCCGGCAGTTTAAGTCGGTTTCACACTGCAAGCATCAGCGGAACGGCAGCGAAGCGGCACCGCTTCAAACAGAATCCAATTATAGTCTATGGAGTGTTTCAAACCAGCCACAACGCGGCAATTTCCAGGCGCGTCCTAGAAGCGGCATGCCGCGCCGCTAAAGGTAGGATCGAGTTCAATTTTGTCCGCAAGCCGCTTCTGGGACACGTCAATTTCCGCAGTTCACATAGTGCAAGACAGGAAACCACATGGTTTCAATGTAAAATCCCGGGTTATTTTCAAAATAAAATGCAACGTTGCGATGTTATATCAGCACGTGTGACTGAATGGCTTTGTTTACCACCAGTTTCTTTCAAGAAGTGCAACTGTTACGGCTGCCAGCCTGGCCAGTGGGATGCATGAGCCAAGATCACCCAGCCCTGGTGATCAGCCTGACACCGCCCCTCCTCCTCCTCCTCTCTTCCAGGCTGCTGAGGAGCACAGCTGAGCTGAATTCTGTTGATGACCAACACCTGGATAAAAAGGCTGTGCCTTCAGCAGTCTGGGAGGCAGCAGTGCAGGGGTTCTGCTGTCCTCCAGGCCTCAGTTTGGGTTCAACACCTTTGTTTGAAACCACATTGTGCCCAGGGGTCCCTGCAATGATAATACGGCCCTGCCTTGACCTCCATACACAGGTGAATCCAGTTATGAGAATTGTAAGTTTTCCTCCTCTGTGAATATTCTCTGAAGAGCAGCAACAACAAAACAACTCTGAAATGAGCTGAAAACAAGGACTGTTCACCATCATGATTTAGGGGAAGGATACCAGCGATTTCAGCTGGGTGTTTCCACAGTTAGGAACAGATTGAGGACATGGAAGACCACAGGCACAGTTTAAGTTAAGGCTCGAAGTGGCAGACCAAGAAAAATCTCAAGTGAAGAACGGTGATAAGTCAGTCAACCCACAGACCAGCACCAGAGACCTACAACATCATCTTGCTGCAGATGGAGTCACCGCGCATCGTTCAACTATAAAGAAATGACATGAGCCACACAGGAAGTGAGACGCATCTCAGGGAGGTATGTCTGGCTTTATTTTTGAAGACATCTGTTTCATTATAAATGACAGAGATATCAGTTGACAGCGCATTAGAGTTCACGTCACTTTTACAGGCATATTTTTTTAACATATAATATCAAATTTCTAATTATTTGGTGCTTATGTGGGAGCTGATTTCCAGAGCCATTTAGCACAAACCGCAGTCAGTGTGAATTGGAGTCCATCCGGAAGCCATACTGAAACCGGCCCGCATCTATTCCATACTCGGTGTGAACAAGGAGTGAAGAATCAGAATCTACTTTATTGTGGGTAGCTTTGCTATGCAAAAAATATTGAATATGACTTGAACTCAAGGGAGGGTGACTTGACTACAACACCGGTAGAGAGCGCAAGTAATAGTCATCAAACAGCTGGTTTTGCCCTCACTTTGAAACCATTCAGTTCCTTAGCAACCAAAGTAGGGTCTTGGACTCTTTTTTTTTTTTTTTTTTTTTTTTTTTGTAAGTCTCTGACTTTGTCTGGTTTTCCTTGTGTCAAAGATTCATTTATGGACCAGAATTCATAGATTTTAATGAGCCTGCTGGCCTCAGTGAGCAGGAATCTCCAGTGGGCACTATGCAGCACAGTGAAACAGCTGATTCAAAAACAAGTGTTTTAAAACTGGGAAAGTGTGGATGATCCTCTCCAGGTTGGGAATGAACTCTTGTCCCCTGCAGAGGAAGAGGTCAAACATCTAATTAGTGGAAGAACACAGCTAGAAAGTTGGACTGGGTCATGTGGAGCCACACTGGTCGGGTGTGGTGAAGTGGTGGATTTACAAAACTTATAAGTCGCATATAAGAACAGCTATAATGACCTGGACTTACCTTTAGGACCAAAGGCAGAGTTACTGCTAATGAAGGAAGGATGGTCTGTCTCAGGAAGGTGTTTTGGCTGCAGACTAGATTTAGACGCCTTTAGGGAAGAACCAGGGTTTGTTGGAGAGAATAAATCTGGATCAGCTGATGGAGGTTGTCCCCACCTGTCCAGGGTCCCCAGACAAGAGACATAAGACGGGTTCCTGAGTGGAGGCTCATAAAATATATAATAGACATAAATATTTTAAATAAATGGTTTTCTCCCAGTTGTAAAGCATCAGCAATGTTCTATTTAAGTGTCTCTGCATGCAGAGCGTCATAACCCCAAAATAAAGGAACCTAATTGGAATGCAGCCATTGTTAACTTTATCATCATTAGCACTTGTGGTTTTTCTCAGAAAAATCATAAATAGGTTTTTTTCCTGCGAACATCGGCCCTCATATTCTATTCGAATGAGGCTCTATGACTAAAGGTCTGACAGTTCTAATCGCTTTTAGTTTGTTCTCTTTACATTTGAAGAAGTACCACAGCTGAAGTATTTGTTACAGCTGCAAGCGAAGATTATCCGTCCATTGTTCTGTTAACATCAACAGTTTACTAGAAACTCATTACATTATCTGTGTTTATTCTCAGTCCGGCTAGTGGTTGTAAATGAGAGGAGGAGGGGTGAAGAGATTGTATCTGTACTTTCGTACGTCACTGCTGAAATTACATCCTGCAGAACATTAGTGCACATGCTAATGATTTTAGGACTTTTGAGCAAATATATTGTGATTAGAAACATCCTGTGCTACATAGAAAAGAAGCTTTCCTGTTCAAATCAAATTTGATGTTTATCTGGGGGAAGCAGAGATATTTGCTGTTTTTTTTAAAAGAAGTTTTAAAAAGGGACCTACTTGGCACAATTTTTAGCTGGCTCAAGATAGTGGCCATGTGATAAGAGGCCCAAAATCATGATGTTTGGGGGACGTTGGGGTGAACATCTCAGTCCTTGAGATGTTTCTGCAGCTTATTTGGACTCCGCCTGTGGTAAATTCAGTTGGTAGGACATTGTTTGGTAAAACACACCTGTCTATATAAGGAGCCACAGTTAACAGTGCATGTCAAACCAAACCAGGGATAAGGTCAAAGTAATTGTCTGTAGACCTCAGAGATGGCATTGTCTTATTGTCAGAAAGCACAAATCTAGTGAAGGTCCCAGAGAGCTCAGTGATCTCCATCATCTGAAAGATGTCTGAAACCACCAGGACAATTCCTAGGGCTGGACAGCCATCGAAACTGAGTGATTGAGGGAGGACCTTAGTCAGGAACGTGACCAAGAACACGATGGTGACTGTCAGAGTTCCAATGTTTTTATGTGGAGAGAACTTTCCAGAAGTACCATCTAGTACACCAAACGATGGATCTGTATGGTAGAGTCAGATGGAAGCTACTCTTTAGTAAAAGGCACCTTACGGACTCTCAGGTGGGAATGCAAAAATTCTCCATCCATCCTTTTCATGGCCGTTTATCCGTGGTCGGGTCGCGGAGGCAGTAGCCTAAGCAGGGAGGCCCATACTTCCCTTTCCCCAGCCGCTGGGGCCAGCTACTCCAGGGGAATCCTAAGGTGTTCCCTGGCCAGTGTTGAGACATAATCTCTCCAGCGTGTTCTGGGTCTTCCCTTAGGTCTTCTTCTGGTTGGACGTGCCCAGAAAACCCTTACCAGGGAGGCGTCCAGAAGGTTTCCTGACCAGATGCCCGAGCCACCTCAAAAATTCTCCCAAAAGTTTTTTATGTTCACATTTTCATTATGAGGTTCTGTGTGTAGAAATTTGAGTGTGTGTGTGTGTGTGTGTGTGTGTGTGTGTGTGTGTGTGTGTGTGTGTGTGTGTGTGTGTGTGTGTGTGTGTGTGTGTGTGTGTGTGTGTGTGTGTGTGTGTGTGTGTGTGTGTGTGTGTGTGGCTTGTCCTTCTGTACTACTGTAACACACTTTTCACGTTTTAACAAAAAAGCCCTTGACCACCTTCAGTTGGTCCAGAACTCTACAGCGATCCGAGCAAACATCGCTCCTATGCTAACGTCTCTGCACTGGTTACCCGTTACCTTTAGAGTCCATTTTAGAATCCTGACAGTTACTTTCAATGCTCTACATGGTCGAGCTCCTCTCTATATTACTGAACTGTTAAAGCCTTATGCTCCAACCCGAGCCCTCAGGTCCACACACCAGAACCTTCTAGAAGTTCGAAAGACCAGATACAAAAGTTGAGGTGATCGCTCCTTCCAGACTGTTGCACCCCGACTCTGGAATGATCTTCCTTTATCCTTACGCAGTATTTACAGTCTGGACACTTTTAAAAAAACAGCTGAAGACCCTTTTATTTAAAGCTGCTTTTACCTAAATCTTTTATTTTCTTATTTTTAACTCAAATTTTTTATCTTTCATCTGATTATGAAATTTTATAATTTTATGATTATTTTTTTCTGATGTTAATCTGATTCTGTTTTGAGATCATTTTGATTTTATGTTCATCTATTCATGATTTTATGACATTTTTTTGTTTTGATCAATGTGAAGTACTTTGTGATTCTGTCTGTGATAAGTGCTATATAAATAAAATTTACTGACTTACTTACATCTGTAAACCCTCAACCTGCAGAAGAAAGCAGGATCAGAAACTTTGTGGATCGGACTGCAGACCAAGACGAGAACCACGTACATAATGGACTTTTTTAAACATTGCAAGAGTTGTTTTTTGCGGCTTTTTATAAATGAAAAATACATTTTATTTCTCCTGTCGGTGTTTGTGACATGTCTTATTTAGGTCTCTGGATGTGAAAAACATATTTTTACAGTCATTTTTAGATAGCTCAAAACCAAATTGAATCAAGTAATAATGTGCCTTTGGTCTTTATGTAGATTATAAAAACACATTCAGTGGAGCAGATTACAAGTTAGGAGGTTAGGAGTCTGTAGGAAACCAAAATAAACAAAAGCATGTTGCTATGGAAACACAAAGCAAAGAGGAAGGAAACAGACAGACAAGCAAACATACCAAACAAAAAGAAGCCCTAGTTGTTACACAGCCCTGGTTTTACAGGAACAAACAGCGTTTAGTGATCATATGTCATGACCCATCAGGACAGGTGTGCTTCCCTTAAAGGTAATGTGGAAAAGTGACGCGCTGCTAAAGCAATAATATAGAAATGCCAACTTCCCCCTGAGAGAAGAGTCTCTGATATTACAGCAGATTAGATAAAACTGCTGCTCATCATTTTTATTGGGGTGTGAAGTTTTTGTTATGAGGAAGTGAGAAAAGGCTTTTTCACTCAAATCTAAAGGAGAACAAAAACCACAGCTTTGTCATGACCTGCTGATAAAAGCTCCTAAAGCAGAATGAGGAGACCGTGCTGAGCTGCATCAGATCTACTCAGCCTGACCAAGTAGATCAGCGGTTTTCTATGCACGTTCTTCTATTATGCTTTATGTACAGCAGGAGCTCAGGAGCTAGAGCGGGTTGTCCTTTCATTGGAGGGTTGTAGGTTCAATTCCAGCTACTGGCAGAGAACCTTGCTGTTGTGTTTTTGAGCAAGACACTTAACCCACCTCGTCTGCCGGTGGTGCTGGGCAGGCCTGGCCCCTGTGGTTACATTGTAGCTCATCTCCACCAGGGTGTGGATATGTTGTAAAGCACCTTGGGGGGTTCTAGAACCCTAGAAGGTTCTATATCCATTACCATGAACGTGTTGCTTCCTGCTGCTTTTGGTTTCATCGCAGGACACCACCCTGTTGAGCCCCATTAGCAAAGCCCCAGAGGAATGTTTACTGTTATCTGGTGACCAAAATCTCATATTTAAACTTTAAAGTAGTAAGAGACATCAGATCAGTGACATGTAATAATAAATCATAGATCAAGCGTTTTTATTTTTCTTTAAGCTCTTCTTTGCGTCCTTTAATGTTGAACCGGTATAAACATTCTCTCTTCCCTCTTTTAGCTGATGGTCTCTGAAACATTTTAAATGTTTATTTTAAACATTTCCTCCCAACTAAAACACGATAGTTTCCTCCATCTGGATCAGAATAATCTTCTTACACACTCTCACGTTTACAACCAGCACCACTGGATCAGGAAGCAGGAGGTAGAAAACTAAAGAACGAAAAGGAGTAACGTTTAATCAGCGGGCCTTTTTAAAATAAAACATTAAATCACTTTCAGCTAAAAAGGAAAAATACAGCCCTTTTGTATGCTCCCAGCTTTACCCTGTCAACAGTTAAACAGCCAAAGCTGCACCGTCAGCATAATCATAATTATAGCAACCACAGTAGAGACTCTGTATAATTCTTTATTCATTTTAATCATTATTGCTTTAGAAATATTAACTTTATCTGTGGTCTGGTTAAAAAGTCATTCAGTACTAGTGCAAGTTTAAAAAATCTGACATGATAAAAAAAATCAAACAAGATTTATGATTGATTTAAGAAATCACACAAAGAAGCAGCATTCAACCCCAAAGATAAAAAAAAAAAAAAAAAACACAATCCAAACAAATTACAAATGCTGGCTTAAACGCCTCCTACAGGAGGCGGCGTTTTAATAAAGTAGAACAGTCATTTCACTGAAATATTTAACTAAGAACATGTTTAACGCATCTGAGAACAGAGGGGAAAGTGCAAATAATCACAAGGTCATATAATGTCTTTCTACATAACTGATGTGTGTGTAATGCTCATGTACAAGCAGCAGGTGGCACTGTGTGACGAAATCTCAGGTAAATTATTATAGAGATAAATGAGGAAGTCCTGGTAGCTGTGAAAGTGTTTGTAGACTCTCTAACACCTCCTTATGGAGTGAAAATGCAGGTCATCTTTTTCCTGTAATGCTTTTAAAAATGGCCGACCTGTCAGGCACTGGGATTAAAATAAAAATCTAGAACAAGGCTAAGTTGTAGTGCAACTATATTTAAACTGACAGAAACAATCATCTAGTATAGAAATTCACCATAGCACAGTGCAACCTCTCGTCTCTCTCTCTTGTTTAAGGGGATTAAACAAGATCAGGCCTCAGAAGTCATTTCATGAATAAAACAGTAATCTGTGATTCAAATAAAGCAAAAACATGTGAAATGTAACTCATAAAAAACACCATTTGCATTTAAAGGCCTCATTCACTCAGAAAATGTAATACTTTTCTTTTTGAAATACAAAATTGAGCTCTGAGTTGCACACGCATAATAAACGTAACAAATACCCATATCGTTTACATGAGCCGCTGAGAGAGAACAGACGGGAACTCGATCGGGTCAGAAAAGCAATAAAGCTCCTGGCTGTGGGCGGCTGAATTGATTTTGTGGCCAGGAGAGAGCAGAGTGCGCCTCCACTAGTAGAAGCTAACCGTTAGCATTAGCAACTCCACAACAAGGTAGGACATACTCAGGTTTTAATATTAATGAGGAAGACTCCAATTCCACAGCAAACCTACTGAAAAAACTAGTGGACGAGACCTTTAAAGGTGATCTATACTTTTTTTTTCTCACTTTTTCAGAAAGGTTTCGTCTGTTGTCATTATGAATGCAACCTGACGGGATTCTCATCCTGTGTCTTTGCCTATGAAGGTCTGATCTCTGAATTGTGTGTACTGAACCTCTAATTTCCCTCTGAGATTAATAAAGTATCTTTGAATTGAATTGAATTGAATTGGATCACCTCTTCTACTAGCACATGGAAAAGGGAGACAGAAAACCCAGAACACCACCGGGTGAATTTTTTTGTCCTTCAGCCACAATACCCTTCAGTACGCTCATCAGGAGCCAGCTCCACCGGAACTGGGCGCCTCTCGTAGGGACAGGAGAGGTTCTCCTCCTCCTCCTCCTCCCCCTCCCCTTCCTCTAACTTGCTGCCTATGAGGTACTCAGATTTTTTGTTGTTCATGTTGCCATCATGGCCATTAGGCGTTATCCCTATGGGTATGCGGAAATCCTGTTCTGTAGATCCATTTCCAACATGGATGAATTCTTCAGCATCATTCTCGTCGATGTTTGTGAGCAGAGGCGTGGGCGAGGAAGGCTGTACGGTAGCCATTGGCTCACTATCCATCAACATGGTGGACTGGTTGCTTCGTGAGCTGGGCAGCTGTCAGACACACAGGAAAAACAAGGTTAGAGCTGGGTTAGAGAAACATCAGCTGATGAGACAGAGAGCAGAACTATCAAATCGTACAATAGATGTAGGCAAATCAGACGAGGGTCTTGTCTTTTTAATGAAAACCATGATGGCGATGACGGCGAGGCCAGCGGCTGCCAGCAGGACCAGCCCAATGGTAACCGTGATGCCGGTGTTGAGACCTGAACCAAACACGTGACAAAGGACAAATATTTACAGACAACATAAGAAAGCTGCTGAAGCTAAATAAAGAACATGTTTGTGAGAAGACTTAAATAATGTTAAGTTAAGTTAAAGATGCTCTTTTCTTCTGCCTGCTTCCAAATACTGATGAACTTGAGCCACAAAGATGTCAGATATGTGGTTTTGGCTTTAGTCAGAGTCAGAACCCGGCCTTTTCTCAGAAATAAAATGAAATAGGTCACGTTTTAACCTACCTGCGGACGAACCCTCTGCTGTTGGCAGGGTGCAGGACTGCTGTGACTTGACCTGCATCTTCTCCAGTTCTCCCTTAATCCGCAAACAGTGTTTCTTCTGTGCAGCATCTGTGCAGTTACTCCTGTGCACACACCCGTCTCGCAGCTTCGCCTCACACTCACGGTCCTCGCACTCGAAGGTGTGGTGATGTTCCCTCTGCTCGTGCACACACACACACACACACAAAATAGGGCTTAAAACATAATCGCGTAATCAGATTTTTTGTCATACACGTAGCGAGTTCTCACACAGACATGCAACTGTGTCACACACGTTAGCCATTAGCCAGTAGCTGTGTCCAAATTCAAGAGTTGCATCCTTCAGAGGACCCAACCTAATCTGTCCACGTAGACTAACGTAGGTACCATAAAGCGGGTCCTTCGCTGACAGGAAGAGCGAAAGTGAAAAGCTGGATGGTCTTACTTCAACCACTGTCCTGTTGCCTAGCAACCATGACGGCGTTAAACAGAAGCCAAAACTAAAAGAAGTGGCATACAAGCTACCAGAGGGGACATAGCAAAAATGTGGATTCCAAATTTGTCCTATTTTTTCCCAACTTTACTTAGCGTGACACCAAGAATATTCCCTACTTTTTTGGGGTGTGTGCATGCATATCAGACCAATTTACAGATAGTGACGTACTTCTTAGAAAAAAGTCACTGGTATCAGTTCTCACCCCTACTGCACATTGGAAGCATCAGTGGCACAGAGCGGCAGCAGAACCCCACAGCTTGAAATAGAATCCATTAGAGTCTATGGGGGTGACTCAAACCAGCCATGATGCTGCAATTTTCAGGCGCATTCCAGAAGCGGCACGCCGCGCCGTTAAAGCTAGGACCGGGTTCTATTTTTGCTGTGAGCCGCTTCTGTGACGCGACAATTTCCGCAGTTAACATAGGGCTAGACAGGACATCACACATGGTTTCAGTGTAATATCCCCAGTAATTTTCAAAATAAAAGTCTATTGCAGCGATTCTATTTTATATCTATGTCGATTATGTCAATAAAAGTGACCTAACAGCTTATTTACTCCCAGTATCATTCCAGAAATGCAGAGACTCTCCCAGTGTGCATTGGAATGCAGCAATTGTCGCGAGTGAACCTTTCCACTGCCGTTTTGCGTTGCTGATGCTTCCAGTGTGTAGTACGGGTTAGCGGCATCAGAAAATTGCCGTGTCATGACTGGTCTGAATCACCCCCATAGACTAATGGATTCTTTTTGAAGCAGTGACATTCCGCTGCCGTTCCGCGCCGCTGATGCTCCCGGTGTGCAGTAGGCTCTATTGTTTTACTGATTTTCACAAGTCACAGCGTGACAGCCGTGTGAGTGTGTGAGAAATCGATGAAGAGAGAACAGTCAGTGACGAAAGTGGACTCAAGGTTAAGGCATCTGTTGTTCAGCATTTTTTTCATTTTGTGGTGCAGATAAGGACGCTGCAACTCATGAAATTAAATAAAACGATGAGAACTGACAGAAGTGACTCGTTCGTTCACGAGAACAACGCCACGATATCTGTGATCACCTCCATTGATCCTTTCAGCATAACTAAGAGCAGAACTTCTTAAGAAAGAAGGGACATGATATCTGGATCCCTCAAAACAAGTCGGAATACAACGTAACTTGTTGTCTCGTGTCTCCTGGGTGCTCAATAACCTCTGCAACTAGCAACAGGTTATGAGTAGCAGACACTGTAACTGCCAGCGGATCTGTCCTCTCAGCAGACGATGTGGTCAAGTTGACATCTCTGTCAAAAACATGAAGGTTTAGTGAACCTGAACAAGGCTGCAAGCTGGAACTCTTATTGTTGCACATAAGGAAATACAGAGTTAATTTCCTAAATACAGAAAATGTTTCTATTTTCATCTGCATTTATTTTTTTTGTAGAGCACCTTTTTACCAAAGTGGCCCAAAGTGCAGCAACATAAAACTAGTTTAAACTGAACTGGCAAAGCAAAGCTAAATAATTCTAATTAAACAACAAGATTTTCCAGATTTGCCCAAAGTCAATAAAAACAAGAAAGAAGAAATCAACAAAAACAATGGTCTGAATCAACCTGATGACAGAGAGCGGAAATGCTAAATCAACTACTGCTGCCACGATTAGTTGATTTGTCCTGACGACGTCGACAAACAAAATAGTCAATGATAAATTTAATAGCCGATGTTGTTTATTTCATGAGCATTTTTTTTAACCTGGCCTGCTGCGGCACCTTGGGCGTCTTCTTTCTGCTCGAGGCACATGCACGCTCGTGCCCATCTGGGTCAATCTAATTCTACTAATTCCCGGTACCTAGGAATCGATACCAGTACTTAACGATACCAATTTTCTATACTTTTGAGTATTTAATATTTTAATTCTCTTTTATAATTAGATATATATTTTTCTCAATATATAACCATACTTTATAAATATCGCAATAAATAAGATACAACTGTATTTTAACATCGTCCTTATAGTTTTATAAGCTGATAATTAAACTGAAGCAAACATCTTTACTGTGAACTAAATTTACTGTGTATCTTCATTCCTTTTGCCGTCCTTTTTCATTTGATTTTTCCTACTGGGAAGTTAGAATTTCCGAGGAGAAAGCGAACGCACCATTAGCTGATAACAACGGTGGCAATGGAAGCTAACATATCAAGCTAACGTTATCTTAAACAGTTTATTTAACTGCTGGAGCAGGTTAAAACGATGATGCCTCACACTTAGATCGTTGTCACTGGTTTCATCTTCGCCCAATCACCCGTCACATTAAGTAAAGTGAAGCCAAACGTTAGACTGTGTTCATGTTCTTCTAGTCGAAAATTCGGAGTTCCGAGGAGAAAGCGAACGCACCATTAGCGAAACGGACGCTAACATATCAAGCTAACGTTATCTTAAACATTTTATTTACCTACTGAAGCAGATTAAGATGAGGATGTCTCACTTAGATCGTTGTCGCTGGTTTCATCATGACCCAGTTACCCATCACATTTAGTGAAGTGGACCCAAGCGTTAGCGTGCGTTCTTTCTACCCATGCTGCTCTGTTTACAACTCGCTCGCAGCGACCGACGACATAACGCTCTTGCGCATGCGCAGCTTCTAGGCAAGTTCTTGTTAGGAAGGACTGGTACCGAAACGAGGCACCGTTTCAAATTACGTGAATCGGTGCTCAGTCAGTACTATGGAAATCGGTCGGTACCTTAAAAAGTGCCGAATTCGGTACCCATCGATTTAGTCGACTATTTAAATAGTTGTTTGTAGCAGCCCTAAAATAAACTTAAAACTCTGGGGAAAGGGAGGAATAGAGTAGAAGACTGTGTGCAACCTCACCTTTCCAACAGTCACTTTATACTTGAAAACAGGGAGGCGTTCCTTCTTCTTCTTTTTCTGTGATTCACATATAAACAGCTTTTCGTGGTACAGCAGCCACGGATGCTCGAAGCGGAGCTGGACATGATCATCTGGCAGGAGGTTCACAGAAACAGGCGGAAGGTCCAAAGAACCTGGATCAACAGAAACAGCTGATATTTATATTGATGCAATTGGACAAACCTCCTTAAGTAACTTATAAACAAAATCATAACTCACATTTTTGACTTGCCAGGGATTCATAGAAATAGCTGAAGAAAATGGCTGAGGAAGGACTGGACTCATTTTGACCAATCACAGCTGTTACGGTGAGGACGTATCCAGCATTTGGATTTGACAGGAACGAGAGGTTAGCTTGTAGAGGAGGTTGGTCCACCCAAACCACTCCTGGACAGCTAGGGTGTAGCGAATCCCAAAACAAATCAACTTAGAAAATATCTTTTAACGCTCTGGAAAAAAGATGAACTCTTAACTCACTCTGGCTGTGCTACACTGATCATACAAGATAAACATTTCTTACCAAGCATAATGAATGCCGTGAGCAGAGAAAACTAAAAGCAAAATGTCAGTTAGGAAATGAAAACCAATAGAATCCATACCTCTTTAGTCCATAATCAGACTTAATATCCACCCTGAACCTCAGTCCGGGTAACATTTGGTCATAATCCCACTCCAGAAGGTTCTGTAGGTTATGACAGTGAAGAGTCACATTCTTCGGTGGTACCACTGTGGACACAGACACCGGCATGTTGTGGAATTTGACAATACAAGACAAAGTAAAAATCAGGATTTTATCATTTTATCTTCACAGAATTTGAACAAAAAGTGGATCAGAATTTTATCAACCAGAACTTTTCATTCTGTAGTGAAAATCAAATGAAAATACTTCTCCAAGTCCAAGAGATGTTTAAGGCGTTTGAGCTTTAAACTTTGTCATGGCGTGAAGTAACAAATCCACCACTAGAGGGCAGTGTAAGAAAACAGATGTATACCAGTGCCTTCTCCATTACGTTGATGTCTGCTGCTCTCTTTCCACATCCTTTATGCAACTTCCTGACATTGTTGGCACAGAGTTCCTCAATAACAGGAGGTTAAGTTGACAAGGTTAACACACACACACACACACACACACACACTTACATGAATGCATGGACGTAATTTTTTTTTGGGGGGGGGACATGCCCCCCCCCCCCCCACACACACACACACTTTTTCCAAAGTCAAGTTTTGACCCCTGCACTTTTTACCATCCAGAAATAATATTACGCTATGTTAAACAGACACTGGTTGAGCTCTAGGACCAAGCGGAAAACAACCGTTTGTGTTGAAGCCTGTTTCCCATTAGAGCATGCTGTATGGACAAGACGTCAAAAACTCTAAACACAAAAGACTTCAATAAATGGGACACACTTCTTTCCTGCAAATAAAATTTCACAGTTGATGCTAATACCTATCCTCCTTCAAAGGATGTGCTCCTGGCTGCAAAGCATTGCACCTTCAAATACAAGATGTTGTCTTTACTTGTTCATGTATGTGTAGACAAATAAACTTGTTGATATTCAGTACATAGTTACATAGATTTTTTTCTTTTTTTGCTTCTGTTACCCCTTCTTTCCACCGGAGCCGTCAGCAGCACGTTACTGCAGCAGCACGTCATAGCTGCTGATAGGAACCGCTGTGGTCAACAGAACCTTTTCCATCTGAGCTGTCAGCAGCGCGAGTCGGCCGTGTCTCAGGAGCAGCATGTCGCGGCCCTTACGCGCCGGTTCTATTTTCTACGCGCGACGCCTTTAAAACGGGTGAAGTTCGACATTTTTGGGGAAGGAAAGACAGGAAATCGGACGCGGAAACGGAGCAAAGCTCCCGAGATTTTCGGAATAAAGAACGTACTTCCTTCCGGTTCCTTTACTTTAAAAAAAGTTACTAACTGTGCGGCCCCGTGAGAAATTATCATCTAGCTAGCGGTCTCCTTTGTGTTTCAGCTCCGTATTGGCGATTATAAAACGGACAGAACATAAAACACAAACCTTTTGGAGCCATGTTGTAGTTTTCTCCTGCTTGTTGTTGTGTTTACTGACGAAGTCACTCTTGTGACTTCGTGCTCTGTCGGTGACAGCTGCTCCCCTGCTGCTTTGCGTCTCGTGGGAAGGGCCAAGCAGCAGCTTACGCGAGCAAGACGTGCTGCTGCAATAACGTGCTGCTGACGGCTCCGGTGGAAAGAAGGGGTTAGCTGAAAAATGAGAAAAGCCCCTTGAGAAAACAATTGTGAATTAAATCGCAATTGCAATATTGAAGAAAAATAATCGCAATTAGATTATTTTCCAAAATCATTCAGCCCTAGTATGGGACCAGAAATGGGTTTCACACGTGGGTCACATGAGTTTTCTCTTCTGAGGAAGCTTTTTTTCAGACCTCCTCCCCAGAGATGACCGAGGTGACATTACGGACTGATTGACCGGCTGAAATTTCCGCCTACCGACTCCGATTGGCAAGTAGAATCAGCCAGCGCGCGTGGGGTGGGGGTGGGTGGAGGGTTGTGGTGTCCCACACGCGCAATCTTTTACTATCTTTATAATCACTTTTTATCAGTTACTTTTTATCATTATTAGCTTTTATTATTTTATATGTTATATATCTTAAATCCTCCAGTGTTTCCTCTGCGGAGCCCTCTGCCTTGGGCCCGGTGGTCAGGGGCGGCGGCGGCCGGGGCGCTCCCCGGGTAGTGCCCGGGCACTGGTGGGGGTTTCTGCCCTACGCCACTGGGCGTCATGGGCCGGTGTCTTGGCTGCTGCCGTGGATCTGTTGCTTCCAGGGCAGATGGCTCCGCTGATGATGTGTCGTTCATTACCTGACCCATCTGAACTCAGCCTATTGTTTCCTCTGGTGTTCACGAGTGTGTGTGTGTGTGTGTGTGTGTGTGTGTGTGTGTGTGTGTGTGTGTGCATGGACGAGTGTGCGGGTGATTGTATGTCCACTTTGGAAGTTGGGTGCGGGAGGGGAACTGTAATTTTTAATTGTTTTATACTTGGAGAGGGGGGCTGGGATGGGAATGTGGGATCTATGGGGCCATTTTAATCTGTAAAGCACTTTGAGTTGCATTTTTTGTATGAAAAGTGCTATATAAATAAAGTTGATTTGATTTTGATTTGAATTAATTTTCATGCTGGATACTGTTAAGTTCACTTCTCTGTCTGTAGCATGGAGCTAAAGCTCAGTGGGAATGAGAAATGAGCTGACAGACAGCTGCTCAGTGGGAGGAGAATGGACACACACAGAAAATTATTAAAGTAATGTAGTTCAGAGTCTCCAAAAGCAACATAACTCATGCCCACCTTTAATTATCTTATTACAGAGTTGGGCTGGATGATAATTCCATAGTTCAATATATCTGTCAATAAACGTGGTGAGATAGAAAAAAAATTAGTCAAAAAATTCAGTCGATAAAACTTGGATAAAAAGGTTTCCTTTTTTAAATTATAACCTTTTTTCATTATAACCCATCAGGTAGCAGCATACTAGACTCACTACCTACTCCTAACCAATGAAAACCACAGACTTGGGCAAGCTACGTCACCAGGCCCTCCGCTCTCAAACCAAAACGGAGCGCGAGTCAACAAGATATCACAGCCAGAAGAGGCGGAGAAAAAATAAAAATACCAAAAATAAAATGGCCAGGGCTGCACGTAAAATGTATTTTCTACAATTTGCTAAATATTTTTTAAATAATTATCAATGTCGAACAATATAAGCATTTTTTTTTATCGATATACTATTTTTCTATATTGTCAAGCCCTATTACGGACAGTGTTGGGCAAGTTACTTCAAAACTGTAATGCATTATTTATTACTTGCTACCCTCATTTTAAAGTAATTCATTACATTACAATACTTTTGCATTACTTTGTTACTTTCACCAAAACAACTTCTATATGAATCTGGTAATCTGACACTCAGTGAGCTCATGACATATATGTGGAAAGTGATGTGGTGTCTGAGCTAGGATTGCTGTTAAAAACAGTCAGATATAATAACAGTGCTTTAAAATGATTGTTTATTAAATAAAAGCAACAACAATCTGTACTCTCATCACGCTGCCATGTTATATTAACTGAGCAGGGAGTGAGGTGGTGGGGGCTCCAAGCCTATATTTGCCTTGGTCCCCAAATGCCTTGATACGGCCCTGGATGTGGGACTGACTTCTGGGGTGATCTGATTCTGTCACATGTATAAATATTAAATGCTTATATATTTTTGCTTTCACTGGTAAAAATGTGTATTGGGGATAAATCTACCTACTTTTTTCTTGTATTTGAATAATTTCCTGCCCTTTCTCTCTCTAACCTGCATGCTGCATGCTTTCTCCGTCTTCCAGAAAAACAGTTTCCTAGATTTCCAACTTTCTAACTAATCGACCGAACACAAAAAAAAAAATAATAATAATAATGCTTAATATGCGCTGCGCTCCAGCAGCAATGAGTTGAAGTCACCGGGGCACAGATTATGAACTCAGCTGAAAAGTACATGAAGTACCAGAGAATATGGGCTGATATAAACGATCACAAACAAATTACTTTGTTTTGGTGGAGCGATTTTGTGAATGTAACAGCGGCCGTGCGCAGGACGCAGCTGGAGTATTTGAGCCATTACCGCTGCGTACTCTCTGCTCATAGAATGCTCGCAAAGCTGAGTCCATAAATGATGTAATATATCTTTTTTCAGGCTTCCTGCAATTTGAACTTTTAGGAAACCCACATCTTGATTCTGGGTTTAAAAATGTATTGTAATTACCACGTTACTGACAATTGTACCGAGTAAATATTACCATTTTCTTTCCCTGTAATGCCTTACATTACCACAATACAGCAAAAAGCTATGCATTACAGTAGTTAATTACTTTTGTACCGCGTTACTCCCAACACTGATTATGGAGGACACCACGGACAATCCCATGCATCTTAAATGCCGCCCACAGGCTCAGGGATTTTCACATTCCTGAGAAGTCCTTCAGAACTATTTGTGAACACTACACTGCCCGTTTGAAACTGAACTGACGCTATCCTGTCCCGATCGTACTGTCCCTAATGAGTAAGCGGCATATGTGACCGATCTGGACCGTGTGTGCCGAAACGTAGAGAGAGATCCGTGCGGATCAGGGATTAATGATGAACCGTTGCACCTCTAGGAGTCAATGGGAACTTGCTACTTTATGGAGTCGGCCCCTAGCAGATTTAGCTAACTTCTGTTTTGGCAGACAGAGTTTGCACCTTGATTTGAATGCAGCCCAAAGTCATTTTTTGTCACTTTATAGAGGGAACATTCATATTTATGAACAACGTTCCTGTTTACATCATTAAATTTAACCCCAAAACCTAACCTACCCACCCCTTACCCAGTGTCCACCAGTCAGTCTATCATATCGTTAAACTAGGGCTGGGCGATACGGCCTAAAATCAGTATCACAATGTATTGAGGATTTCACCTCGAGAACGATAAATGGACAGTAACTACAGGTATGCGTAGAAACAAAAGTTGTCCACTAGATGGGGCTGTCACATGTATTACATTGAGTCACATTTTTACGTGACTCAAGGTGGTACAGTCTCATAAAGGGACATGAATGTTGCCAACCTACACACATCTTTTCATTTTTTTATTATCAATTTTATTGACATGGGAAAATTTATCTCGATGAATCAGAAATTTCGATAATGATAAATTTTCGATTTATTGCCCAGTCCTACGTTAAACCAAAAGGTTTTTTTCTAGAGATAATATCCCTAGTCAATCCATGATGCCGTGGTATTTCAAGTTCCATCATTGATCATTGCCTACGATAAATCCACATGCAATGTCAAAGCAAATGCGCAAAAGACAATTTGTTAAGCGGTTCTCATCTTTGAGCTATGACTTTTTTTGTGGTAGTCAATCACACAAACCCGATTCTACAGGTTTTCTATATGTGATAGCCATGAGTCATCTTTTAATAGGTGAACAATGGGATCCAAGGGGATAGGGGCACCACTCAAATCAGTAATACAATGAATGTTGCACCATTCTAATATAGAACAAACTGCTTTTGGCAACTTCAATGTGGATTTGTCTTTTGCTTTAAAAAAAGTATGTTGTGTGTTAGCTAGACTTTGGCCAGTTTCACTGAATCTCATCAGCTGACTTAACCAAACTCACCATCCAACACACGGATTAATCACTTTACAGTTCTCAAGAATCACAACGTTAGTTTCATTTCCTCTAGCGAAGGTACTACCTGTGTGCATGTGATGCCTCCTCCAGCAAAACGCCCACACAAAATCACACTCTGGTCGGGAATCACACAAGCTCCTCCAGAAATGGAAAAGGTGTGAACCACAAAAGTTAAGTAGTTGCTGAGACTGTTAACCACGAGATAAACACACACACACACACACACACACACACTCTTACATAATTTAACATAACAGGCCAGATTTCTACTCCTGGCAGTCAGACAAACAGTCTCAGATACCAAACGGTAACAAGTACGTTAGAAGCACAAATAAAACATAACCAGGGTATATGCAGGATTCTCAAAATTAAATTTAAGACTTTTTCAAGACTTTTTGAGACCTTCTAAAAATAAAATTAACACTACATCGCAAAGAACTAATCAACTGTTAAACACTCGTATTGTTTATAAATACAGCATTGCTTTGTTTTCCACTTCATTTCGGGTTACGTCACATCCAGGAAAGCGAGGCTGTAGCAATAATACATAAAGCCACGTGGTACAAAAATGCAAATCACGCACACAGAAGAACAAAAAATATATTTTTTAGTTTACATGCATCTGTTTCTCATACCTGCGAACTCAGAGGCTGTGAAAAAAGTGACAACTAAAATAACTCACCCCAAAGAAAGTCCTTCACGTGCTGCAGATTTGCATCTATTCTACAGCGGGGTTTGTAGTGACCTCTGACATTTACATACATTTATTTTAATGAAAATATTTCGCAAAAATATTTAGCGTGATGTTTTTGCAAAATGCAAGCACCAGTCCTACTGTTCAAGAGAGCTAAATATTATAAACTGACAGAACTGATCAGATAATGGTTAGGGATCATCAGATAATAACTAACAATTATGAGACTAATTCACAGAACACCAAACAGAAAAACATCTGAAAATATTCCAGATTACTGTAATCATGCATTAGTAGAATGAGCAGATCCCAACTCACCACACGTGGGACAGAGA